AATCTAAATTATATTTTTTAAAAATTTGTGAATAAAAATTGTTTGGAGAATATCATTGAAGAATAGAATTGTGAGAAAGAGATTTCCGAAAACACAAAACTGTACTAACAATAACTTAGATAAATTTTTATCTAATTTCTATATATATATATATTATATATATATTATATATATATATATATATATATATATATATATATATATAATTTTGTATAAAAAAAAAAAATAGAATCCAAAAGTAAACGATTTTACCGACATCATGAATAGAAACAATAGCGAAAAGTAAAATAGAGTTTTTTAATCGACCTGACAGTGATAAATAAACATCTTTATTCATAGAAACAGATATGACTGAGCATACATTAACATTCTTATTTGTTCTCAAGGTTAAGGATATAAAAAGAACCGTCGAGTTAAGTTGTACAGTAAGAAAGTAATACGAGATATTTAGAAAACACAAGCTAAAAACAATCAATTTATATACACGATATACAATATGATAAATTTTAATGATGTTACGTTAAGTAATAACAAATTTGGAAAAAACGTTATAGAGATGCACAAAAAAATCATTCGATAATAGATGTAATTTTTAAAACGCACTTTTATATTTGATAAAACTTTGTTTATAATTTACACGTTGTAAGATGCATCAACTCACCGGAAGATTTTGCCTTTTAACTTCGAGTTTCATTTTAATTTGTTTGCAGCAAGCATTAGACATTGATGATTATCTTAAGAATTAGCGGAAATAAACAAACGACGTAAGCATTGCATAATCTTATGTGCACTTATCTGAGATGGACAGCTAAGTGATAAATAATTGGTATGCATCTTATTAACCACTTGGCGGGTGTGACACAAGAGATTTGATGTATAATCTATGTTGGGTAGGATATTCTTCCAAACCACAGATGCCCATTAAAGAGCTTAGCTATATAGCACATGTGAAAATATATATATCGTGACGAATATTTGAGACATTGTATCACGTGGCATGCATGCAATATGCTACAACAATGACTGATTCACTGCGCCAAAGAAGACATCGCACGTATGAATATGTTTCACAGAAAAGGACTCATACATAACACCTGTCATGCCTCGCAAAACGATTGCAATTTCTATGCACTGGTGTTGCATTTGTGAAATGTTTTGTACTGAATGCAATTAAAAAGTAAAAATTAAATTCTAGATAAATATTTAAAAATAATGTTTTTAAATCAAAATTTCACATCTTATATTTACACAAATATTGCTTATTAAATTAACATCTTCAATTTTTTTGTACTTCAGAATACAATGTTTTCATACATAACAGCTGTCATGCCTCGTAAAACAATTGCAATTTCTATGCACTGGTGTTGCATCTGTGAAATGTATTGTATTCAATGGAATTAAAAAGTGAAAATTAAATTCTAAATAAATATTTAAAAATAATATTTTTAGATCAAAATTTCACATCTTATATTTACACAAATATTGCTTATTAAATTAACATTTTCAATTTTTTTTTGTATTTCGGAATACTATTTTTGACATCTGATTGATGTTTGATTAAATACTTTTTTAATTGCTCGATTTCTCAATAAAAAATTCAAGATGCAAATTCAGCGAACATTATTTTCGGGATTAATAAATCGTCTTCATCGTTGTTTATACTAATGAGAAAACTTTTGCACACCCGTTATCTATAATGAGCTGGATTAACAATGAATGTAAATCAAGCGTGTGGAATCGCTGGATTAATTAATTTCAAGAACGCTTGCTTCAACACATTTGTACCTTATGTCTGTTCGATATTAAAGGATTCGGAAAACACGAAATCAACTTAATTTGCAACGAATAAACGGATTGTCGAATTTTTTAACCACTTTCCAATCAAGACAGCTGTTCCACTTATTTTCATTGAGAAACGATCTTCGCTGAACGCGGCTATTCTCGATAATAGTCGGTTAACGCTCTATTTTTTCTTTACTAGGGTAGAGTTCACGAAGGAGTAAAAGCAAAGGAAGCGTTAACAAGTCGATTCGAACCTTGAATTAAAAATAAAAAATATAGAAAGGAAAATGGAAGATAAGCGAGATGTGTGAAATCTAATCTGATAATCAATTAATCCCAGATCAAGAATTATTTCTTCTCAAATTATCATCGTAAATCTTCAATAACAAATCTCACGTCAAAACGTGTTGGTATATAATATTCAATCATTGATAGCGATCGTACGGAATTCGACAGACGCACTCAATTTGATAATATATTTTCAAGATATTCGCAGATATTCTTAATACTTAAATGAACTATTACAATATATGAAGAAAAAATTGAAGGAAAAGAAAGGAAAAAAATAAAATTGAGGATTATGGATCGCGAAAAATATAGGAAATAAAAAAATCGATAGACATTTTGTTATTGTGCCAAGAACACGAATTTCGCCACTCGACCTCGTATCCTGATATTATTAACATTATCTATCTTTCAATTACGGTTTCTAACCGTCACGCTATTCTTCACTGGTCGTCACGGCTACTATTTCTCCATTTTTCTCATTGAAAATGATGTAAACTCACGAAGCTGCACTAATCAAGAACGTATTTTGTAAAAATATGTACCGTTCTTTATTAAATCAAAGAAGCTCGTTAGATAAAATTAAACACTTTTATAATTGGAAATTTTAATTGAACAAAGAAGACTTTCACACATATATATATATATATATATATATATATATATATATATATATATAATTCTCAATAAAGTAGGTCGATCTAAGTTCTAAGAAATTTAATCAATATTCGTATATATAATAAATACTTGAAAATAAAAACATAAAATAAAATTACATTTTTTGAAAAAGAGTTGATATCCAGGATTGAAATAAACGTCGATATGAAGTCTCGATAAGAAAATAATTTATATTTACTATCTCGCGCAATATTCTCGGGACTTATATTCATTGTTATCTCCGTCTAAGCTCATCGTTGCGTTACTTGCACTCGTGATTTCGTTGTCGGGTCCGTGATAAACGAGTCTCGAGAGAAACGCGACAGAATTAGAGTTGCGTAAAAAAAAGGAGGGAGAGAATTTTACGTTTTCGCTGAAATAAGCCGCAAATAATACGCGAGATTCGAGAGAGATATGTAATGAAGGCGAGTTAATTGCGATCCCTGGTAATTATCTTACGTAAAGGCGCCGGTGAGCGCTTTGACTGTCATTCTCCAGGCAATCCCATTGCATCAGTCGGAGATCACGTGACTCCCGGATCACTTCCGGATCGGAACAGTTACGCGCGAATGCATCGAACGAAAAATCGATTCGCATCGATCGGCTTATGTAAACGTCGTGTTGTAATGAGAGCCAGAACCAGATTGTATCATACGTCTTGTTTGTTTTACGAATGTGAAATGCAAAGTCTTACGCGATATCATTTGCAATTAATTCGGAATGCCGATCATAATCTCGCACTGGACAAAAAATAAGCTTGCATTCTTTATTTTTATCATGAAATCCAGATACAAAGGTATAAAGATCTTAGGCTATTTTAACGATATTAATTTTTATTTAAAGAGGAAATGTATTTAATTTGAAATAAAAATTTGACAGAACACGAGAAATAAGCTTTAGTTGTCTAATTAATTCTTGCTGAAAAACTATTGAATATAAACAACATTTAATAATTGGACAGTTACAAGTTGAAATAACAATCTCAAAAAAAGGAACACAAAACTTCGATTACATAATTGTACTACAGAACTTTCTAGGATATTCCATTCAAAGAATGTATCTGATTACATGACATGATAATGCATTAATTGAGAATTCTATAGCAATTTAATACTTGATACACATTATCAAATGACATATCACTATCAGTTATAGTGGATAATCAGCGAGCTAATCGTGTGAAATTATTGCAGCAATCAGACATTTAATTGAAGAAATCACTTTACGCGATTTTTACGGAACTTTCATGACCGGTCGCATTAAAAAATTCGCAAAATTAACGAATTCGATAAAAGTTAATGAACGCGTTAATTTTTTATTCCGACATTGCAGCTAGCATTGACCTTCCATTCGAAAGTGAGAGTAATATTTATAGCAGCCTACATAATAGATTGTAGCAGAATAATTATAAATAATATCTTCTCCGTTTCTGAGAAGTTAAGTAAAAGAATATCGAAGTCATCGACTTTTAAATTATATTAAAAAGTAGTTCATCTATGATTAAATTTATATATCGAGAATTATCTGGATTAAATATAATTTTCTTTTACACATATTTTTATATTAGAGTTTTCATATATTATACAATAGATTCTCATAAGTTGTATATTTTGACAGTTTAAAAAATCAGTCTTCTCGACTATTAAAGAGTTTGAAATTCTTCTGTTAAGGCGGTAATCTGTCCAATTTATTTAATTAATCTGCCGCGTGCAATCTGCTCGAGAATTGTCAATATGTCTTTGTTTTTTTAATCTTCCTATATATTATTTTAAAATTTAGAAAAGTGTCTTTTTTATTGTATAGATACTTTTTGTGCAACGTATCGAAAATCAAGTTACATTTTGTACTATCAAAATATCTATATACTGTTTATGTACTTTTTATTTAGTAAAGTTTGGAACATAGGAACGATTTACTATACAGATTGATCGACAGTCTTAGAGATAGAATTCAACATAATTTTCATAAAAGCTTAAATTTTGATACATTATACGCACACACACACACACACACATACACACAAAATCCTCTTATATATATATATATATTTGGCAATTTATATTTATGACAATCAACACGTAAAAAATAAAAGCGTAAAATATACGCACATCTATATATTAAAAAATTAATTTTACTTATACTTTTTCGTTTACCCAACAATTCCAGCGAATTCGACTTCATTTGGAAAGTTACTCAAAATATTTGAAATTCAGCCGCGCCCCCGGAGCAAAGTTAATTTCCAGGATCATAAAGAAAGAAACGATTTGTTTACCCACCTTGCGGAGGCGAGACCTCGACGTCGAAGATCTCGGGCTTCTTAATCTCCGATTTTTCCGATCCAGGGTCATACCGTTCTCGACCATGTTGTCGTGTCACGTAAGGGATCGCTCGGCCAAGCCAAAAGAAAAATCCTTCGATTCTCCGGAAGGACTTCCGAGACGGGAAAGCGGCTCGTGTGGAAAATCGACGTTCTCAGGTGTGGTAGCACACGACTCGACGGTCAATCTGACACTGTTACAGACACGGCCGAACTCGCGACACTTAGAGGCGAACACCTCGCGTATGTCGGCCAATTAGATCACGTCGCGAGAGCCCCACTGACGCGACACCCACTCCTTTCCCAACGTGATGCGCTTTTCCCGAATCGCACCTGTTTATATCTAAGCAATTAAGGGAAAAAAGAAAATTTCTAGAGAGAAGAATCCTGACGGAGATAGTTGGATTTTTTTACAAATAAGTTACGTCAACGATGCACGGTGAACAAATTTTTCGAGTCAGATTTCAGATTAATATATGTGATACGAGATACAGAAGGTACAATGTGCACACGACAAATATCACATTGTTATCGTTTGATTTATTTACGGATCTTTGACGGAATTGAACTTTTATTCTCGGAGACAATTTATATAACAATTTTATATTTATATTTTTAAAAGTGCATTATATATATATATTTTTATTTATGTTTTTATATTCTATGAATCTCTTATTATCTTATGAAATTTAATAAATATATAAAATATCTAAAATTCAACATTTGATTTCAGGTAGAAATATTTTAAAAGATTTTTAATTTGAGATTTAGTTATCAAGAATATTTCATATATTCAAAACCTGTATGAGATAAGAAAGAGAAGTTATGAGATTTTCAATTTAAAAAAATATAACAAATGTACATAAATTATACAGATAATTTACATATTAATGAGATTCATAGAATATATAATTTATGTACATTTGTTATATTTTTCTTAATTGAAAATCTCATAACTTCTCTTTCTTATCATACAAGTTTTGAATTTGTAATATATAAAATATTCCTGATAACTAAATCTCAAATTAAAAATCTATTAAAATATTTCTACCTGAAATCAAATGTTGAATTTTATATATTTTATATATTTATTAAATTTCAACCTCAATAAACGTTTTTATTTATGTGTGTGTGTATGTGCATGATCATTCATAATTTAAAAATTATTTTCCAATTTTAAACTGATAAAAGAATTTGTTCTCGAATTAATTCGAAAAATATCGACGTATTGATATTTTTAAATACAAGTAATGTCAAAAAAACTGTAAATTAATTATGTACATTTTCTATTTCGATTAATTTGAAGAGTTTTTTATTTCATATAAATCTAAATCTAAGATAGTTTATGTTTTAAAATTATTACGTTCTAAAATTGCACAAAAAATAATATTCAATCAAAATATAACGTTAAAAAATTATAAATATCTGTAACATTTCTCGTTTATGGAATATAAATCGTTTTCGTTTGAATAAAAAGGAATAGATAAAAATAATTTATTTTATTAATAATTTACGCTTTTTAACTTGGACTTAAAACAATCGATTTAAAATAATTTAAAATATACCCATACTAAAAGAAATATTGATAACTCTTTAATTAATGATCAATAAATTATCAGTAAATTATCAACCCCATTACATATATTAATCATGTCTTCTAGTCTTTTAAGATGCATATCAACGGAACAAAAAAATGATTACAGATACTATGATTTATACCGCGTTCATAGAGAAAGGTCGTACTCGCATCAGTAATATCGTTCCATTATTTGTTCCATTAATTGCACACTATAATTAACGTTTTCACCTCGAGTATATAACCTCGAGATAGAAAACTAGTAGTTCCAATGTCCACAAATGAAATTGATATTTAATATCACCACGACTATCAGCATATGTAATAATAAAGCAACGTAAAGAATTCTATTGTACAGTGTTTTCAAAATCGACTTAGGACGCTTTTTAAAGATAACGCACGTATCGTTCAAATGTAAAATGATCAGCTATATGGTACATTGGACAAAATATCCGGTTCAAATTAAATAAACAGTAATTCTCCGAAATAGAAATGTAATCGAGTTGAAATGATCGAGTGCTTGATTGGTTATCGTTGAATTAATTTCGATATAAAGCTTCTCGTTCGCGTCTCTCTAAGATAAGACTAATACGCCTGCCAACACAAGAATGCGACTCTTCCTGCACAGATATTTTATAGCTCTTAAAGTCGGTTTGTATAATGACACTCCAAAACAGAAGAAATCTCTCAAAAAAGATTCTGAGTAGGTATATATAATCGCTCCAAAATAAACAGAACATCAATCAAGTTAATTGAGTCCTTAACCGAGTTCTGGTAAAAAAAAGATGTAATTGCAATATTTATATATATATATATATATATATATATATATATTAATCAGATTTGTGCATATGATACTGATAAAATTATAAGTTTTGATTAATGTAATAGTTGTTATATATTTCTATATATGTTTTTATTGTTGTAGTATTTACTATTTTTATAATATTCGTAGATAATTTAGAAGCGCAATATTATTACTTGGAATGTAGCCTAGATATTTGCATGTCGTAATTAATTAATTAAATCCAATATTGCATTAAAATTTGACATTAGTAAATTCTAACATTTTATATAATACATCATGAAAAGGTTACTTGAACTGGATATTTCGGTCGCTTTCTAATGTCTTAGCCATCGGAATTTATTGTTGAAACATATTTTATATTATGTTTTTATTTTGTGTAATCTTTTTAGATCTTTCTTATTATTATCTTTTGTTATTTGATTTGATATAAAATTTGATTTTATCAGGAAAATTATGATAAATCACTTATATGTACATTGAGACATAACATATCTCTATCAAATTGTTGTATATGGTTTTACAAGAAAATTTCAAAAAATTTAGAAAAAATATATGCATTATACATCGCACAAGTCTACAAAATAATTAATATATAAATATTGTATAATTGTCAGAAATTTTGCCATCAACATTTCTAATCACGGAAACTACACGAGCTATCTCGAGAGAAAAATTAATACCTAAATCGTGTGGTAAAACAAAGAACGATTATTCGCAACGAACAATGAAGAAATGTGCGAGACAAGTCGTGTTCAGGTATACTTAAAAAAATAATTTACCAGTCAAGTTGTGAGCAAATTTACGCCAACATCACACATATCGCTAAATCTACTTGTAGTGCCAAGGTCGACTGGTCGAAAAATTCAAAAGACCTTGCAATTATTTGTTCAGAAAAAAGAAAACTTACAATATTTCGTTCTTTTGGTGACCGCAGGGTTTTTTATTTCTCCAAATAAATATTCTAAAATATTCAATAGACGTGAAATACTACAAAATAGTTACTGATTCTGAATGAGATTAATGAACACAATTGAGATCATTGACTTCGTCATGATATTAAATATGATTAATCCCAAATAATGTGATGTACAATAATTCAAAAGTTAAACATCTTGGTATTCGTATAAATTAAATTTATTAAAATAAAAAATGAAGTTGAAATTATATTCTAATTCTGTTAATTTCTGTCACGGTACCGTTTGATAAATATATGACTATATATAGTAATAGATAATGACTATATTCCAGGAACTTAATCGATTCAGTGTTAAGCTGTCAAGATGGTTACGTCAATATTTATCGAAAATAATAATTAACAAGCTCAATATTGGTCATATCAGAAATATATCGCTAATGAATAAGTTAATGAATTTTTAATGAACTAAAATACCAATATAATTCTTATTTTTTTTATCATTATATCTGATTTGAAAAATAAAGATTGTTATAATGTCACATTTTGATACAAACATACAATTCGAAAATATTGAAAAATGCAATGAAAAAGAAAATGACAGAAAAAAAAATTCATCGGAAAAAACAATAATTCATTATGCGTTTCTCCAAAGTGCAAAAAACACCGAGGAATGTTATGGAGAATCATCGATTTTAATGTCACTGCGGTTCCGCGGAAAGTCGATAACTGCGTGTTAAAACTAGCTGCGTCATTCGGCATAGAAATTCGCACGAGGAATTCTTACATCTTCACACTCATGCCCGAACACGGAGGACTCGTTCGCGATATAATGATTCTCGCGACGCTCCCGGAGCTTCTTATTCGTAGCGCGTCATCGAAATGAGAAGAGAGGCTTCCCGAGTGACCCACAGACCCCCATCACACAACTGCGACCTCGTTCATGGGTCAATAAACTGGCACGGTCCACGTCGTTCCTGAATAGCGAGTTATACCAATTCCTTTCCACTTCCGCTAATTTCGCTATTCTTAACAATGTCGTCAATTTGAATGACACACAAGCGATGAAAAGATTTAATACGTAGCATGCTCATTCGAGAATCGTGATATAAGACTCTTTATAATAAAAGAATTAACCAAATGCTTCATTTTTTTACTTCATAAATCCGAAATCTGTCATTTCTTCACAAAATTTTAACAGCTATATAATGATAAATTTATCTATTTCTTTGTACAAAGATATTAAATTTATATCAAGATGTTCTACATCGGACAATTTACAAATAATAATAATAATTATATATATATATATATACATATATATATAATTAAAATTGATACGATGTCTATTTCTTTTATAATATATTTTCTAATATAATTGATTTTTTATAACATACCTATTATATAATATATTTTATAATATATAATTAATAATATTATTATATAATACATAATATATATTATAAATATAAAATATATTAATATATATTATAAAATAATTATTAAATATATTATTATATAATTATAAAATATAAAATTACACACAATACTAACAATAAGAGATAATGACAGATGTAAAAATCACGTTCTTGAAGAAACGCTCTATCATTTAATTTTGGATATCATATACCTCACAATATGATTAATAAAACCTTCAATAAGAGAGAGAATTGTAGAAAAAAATTCGCGTTGATATGTTTCCATCAACGTTGCGATTATTTCAGTGAATCATATAATAAACTCGGCGGCGACGCGACATCGCTTGTGTGTTTTATCAGGTTAAATTGTCGCCGATTACATACATTTACGACGCTCTTGCCGCATTTTGTGTGAAAATGTTCTCTGTTCATGATTTGCGGAAACTTTTGCCGCGTGTAAAAAAAGTTTCCGAAGCGAAAGCGCGCAATTATAACGGGTCAGCGTTTCGAGAGGCGAGAAAGTGTATCGTCTCGTGAGATTCCCGTTTTTCTCTTCTCTTTTTGTCAGTCTACACGACACAAATTTTGTAATTTAATTGTTTCATTAGAGTACCGAGCAAGCACATCACGAAATATTTCTTTCTGGTGAGACCGCAAACTTTCTTACGATTGTATGATATTTTCTTGAAATAGAAAATAACTTCACAGTCAGAGAATATACAATCGTGTCTGAAAACATCCACTGATTAATTATACACGATCTCGATAAAAATGATATATGTATTTAATATGTAATAATAAGTCGACAAAAATGTGTCTCGATAAAATCGATAATTGATTGATAAATATTCGATAAATACGGGATTTTCCCTGCATCGCCGATAAAATTGAAATCCGATTAAAATTACTTTTTTAATAATCCATATAATCTTTATAAAACCTGTATATTCCGATAAAGCGATTCTATATTTTTCGAAAAGAAACAATCCAAATTAATTATACCAACCGGAGTCTCCCAATCTATTTCTGCATAAAATTCAAAATCTGTATCAAGTCAAAAGATCATTTGTACAGCACGATATAAATTCCATATGTCCTAGTTGTTCGATCTTCATGATCGAAATCGCACGGGTTATATTGCGCGAATGATCTCATTCGTTTTTACATTCGCGGATCGTTTTTAATGCGACAATAAAATTGACTGTCGAATCCTGATCCGCGGTTATAAGACGACTAATTCGGTGCACGTGCGATTTGCGTACAGTGCCGTCGCAAGCACTATGTTTGTTCCCGAGATATCAATCTCGTGAGTAAGCACTGATAAGAATACAGCGGGAGGCTCGTCTCACGTGCCGATCACTAGCTAATCACGCGAGCTGTCAATGCGAGCGACCGACAAGGTCAGCTGATTCGTTAAAGTAGAGTGTAAAGCCTTTAACTCCTTGCGGTTAATCAATTCATTTAAACAAAAATGTCAAACTGATAATCTAAGTCTGATTATTCGTTTCTTTCCACTTGCAATATTTTGTACAAATTACAAAATTATATATATATATATATTATTTGTTAAATGTAATTCCTTAGTGTTTGAAAAACTATATGGCAAGTCCATGTCGATCGCAAAGAGAAAATCGCAAGAAGTTATAAAAACATTTTTACTTACACATATTTATTCGCATCTATTGTATTTTTATTTTTTATTAATATTTCTTTTTCATGTATTTTAGATTTAATACACTGAAGAGAGAGAATATTTATTAAATTTAAATAAATATTTATTTCAATACTGCCGTCTTATAAATCATTTATTTGAAATAAGATTGATTTGACGTGAAAAAATATTTATTTCATATAAGACAATCCTTTTCAAAACAGATAAATATTTATTTCTGTCAAATAAATGATTTATAAGACAGTATTGAAATAAATATTTATTAATTTAATAATTTTTTCAGTGTAAAAATGAAGAAATAATTTAGATACGTAACACAATCTTCTTTTCTTGTACTAAAATTATCATGTAATTATCATGTAATTGTCTTCTGTGAAATATTGTTACATGAACGATAATCTGTCGTGCATCTCTCATCTGGCTGCGCGATTATTCGCTTGCTAATTACGTTTCACTTAATTGATGGAAAGCACGATCTTTTCAGCAAACACGCGTCCAGATCGTGACATATTCAGAAAAAGTTACTCGATCGTAAATGTGTGATAATGATAACAAATTCTAGGATAACATTATCTAAGATTGTTCAATTCAAGAATTATGCAATTTCAAAATTCTCGGCCAAATATAACTTAATTCTGAAAAGTATTTAATCAATGTTTAATTTTCGAGAACACTTAATTTGCGATGTCTGGCTTTCCTTCATTAAATTAAGTTCAAATATATAAAATGCAGATGTATAAAATATGCAATTCCATTAAAGCGTAACTAACCCTTCTTAATTAAGTGACGAGAGCTCGATATCTGGAAGAATCAAATCAACGACATGCTGAATACACATGGAACAGAAGTTTCCAGGACTGATTATATGAACCTATATGTGTGTTCGTTGTATCTTTATTATCATTTTATGACTGTGTTATAGCAAATGTACAGAGAGACGAAAGTATAAAACGTTTTATTATCGTTTTACATCCGTTCGTCCATCGCGAAGATGCAGATGAGAGTCTTTGTCGAATACGTTGAAAACAAATATTTATACAAAAAGAAATTAAATTTTAAAAAGAAAATTACAGTATTGCATTGTAAATACAATTTGTATTACATTCCTTTTTAAATCAAGTTTGAACAATAAATGAAAAGAAAAAAAGGGAAAAATTAACTTGAGAAAAATCTTCGAGAAATATATTTTTGACGTTAAATGAAGCACCGCATCTTCAATTTAAATTTGATTATTTAATCAAAAGCTTTCAATTTTTTTAAGTATTATATTTATCCGTATTACAACATTTAACTCAATATAAATTCAATGTAACAATGACGTTTGCGTTAAATGTTTAACACGAGAGGCAGATAAGTGCGCGGGGTGAAAATCTTGTGTCATGATAAGAGAGAACCTATAGCAAGATTAATCTAATCTCTCGTAATGTCAATCCTTATACTATCATCATTATCGTCTAGTGTATACGGGGAGACGAAAAAAAAAACATTACTGAAAGCAAAAAGAAGTTAGCGAAGACAGGTCTTACTCCACGAAACAAGTGTTATCAAAAGATATTTGCGCAAGATAATCCACAATTGACAGACGACTTTGTGGTATATCAATTCAACGATCCTCATACGATCTCTGAATGCTTCATGAATAATAGCATGCCTTATCGTCGATTGCTTCTCATTGCTAAGAGAATTTACGGCATACCTATTTACGAAATTGCTCCTATGTACATACACCGGAAAATTATGCGGCGTAATGAGAAACGTACATGAATATAATCGATACCATGTCGAATTCTGAGGAGGATCTTCGCAATCGCCTAGCGAGGATTGAAGCGATCGCGATGATCATCGTCGTTTTGTGCATCTTCGCGTTATCACGCGGCCATAATGCAGCCGCATCATCTCGTATCGAAGAGGTTATCGTAAGATTTATCGTCAACGCGACACCCATTCTATTTCCACCTACGAGGATATCTCTACAACTGTGCATCGATTATGGCAAGAGATTTTTGTCCTTATATTGCTGATCGTGAAAAAGTGACAGCTCGAAATTTTTGACACTAATTAATCATGATTAATCATAAAAAACGGAAATGAATTGATATAAAGAAATTAAAAAATAATCTCCGCGATTAATATCGTATATATATATATATATATATATATATATATATATAAATAGTAATGAAAAGGAAGGAGTCAATCAGAGCCAGAATGTAAATCTGTGTAAATCTCTGATAATTATATCAATTGATACAAACTTTTCGAGTAAACTGAAAATATAAATATCAATATTTATACATATATACGCCAAAACATATCAACATATTTGAAAGATTAAAATTTCGATAAATTATTCTTCAAAAGAAATACAGTCATCTTTATGACAAATATATCTTTCAAAAAATAAAACATTTATAACGTACAGATTTTTTAAGCTAATCATACGAGCCTCTAGACATTCAGACTCACATTCAGCTTCTGGCTCTTCTTTTTTTGTTGTGAGAATAATTATTCGATTGTTCTGTGTCAAAATAATTAATCTTCATTCACGAGAATAAATATAAAATTCTTAAATTATGTTAAATTATATAAGTAATAAAGATAAAAATAAATAAATCAATTTAAGTTAATTTTTTTTTAATTTACATTAGTAAATTTTCAATTATATTCGTATAAGCAAAATTTTTAAACATAATTATATAATATATGCAATGCCAATTTCATAGCAAAAATAAAGCGTATAAATAATAAAATACTTATTTATAAAACTATTAAAGAATTCTAATCTTAAGTCCAATATTTTTTTCGCAGATAACACGATTAAATTATCGACAATATTATCAAGTAACCAATTGATGCACAACATTCGTAATTTTTACGAATTTGATTCGAGGATTTATAATAATTTAGAACACCGAAACTTGTATGTGTTAAACTTAGATTGCGATTACGCTCCTAAAGTTTTACGAGAGGTAATAAGATCTTTACGAATATACATAAGTACAAATGTGCATGATAATCTAAATATTAAATCTATCTAAAAAAATAATATATTGAATTGTATCTTCGCCAATTTGCCTTTATATTCATCTTTTGGGTTCAAATTTTTGTCTGAAGCTAAATCCATATACTCTGTTTATTTTTGTATTTAATTATTCTGTTTCAACATATAATTAATTTTTGTTTATGAAATCGAATAGAATTGATTTTTTTAATTGTTTTTCGAATTTTTAAATTCAATTTTATCGCTATGTGACTAATGAAAATATAAAAATAAGTTATTCAATTATTTTTTTTACCTTAATTTATGTCAAGGAAATGATTTTCTCATTAATTACTATCGTAAACAATTTTATCGTATTTTTTATTTTATGTACTTACTTCTTTTATATAGTAACTCCTAATTAATTATATTTAGTATAATTAGTCTAATATTATATGGCAGGCAAATTTGAAAAAAATGTTTGTGGCCCCGACAAAATGGCTGCTCTTCCAGGATCGAAATATATCAATTGATAACAGTGATAATACCAAATTAGCTTTTACATATAATAATTCGATTATGAAGATGTTTGAGACCTTAGACGTCTATCCTGATAGCGATGTTGTCCTCGCACAAAGATTCGACGGTGATTTTCTACAATTAACTTCCGTATACCGACCAAGTCCGCAGCGAGAAGTGATATGGGAAGATCGTGGAAATTGGACGTTCAAAAATGGTCTACAAATGAAAACTTTTGACGTGGCTTCAAGACGCAGAAGGAATCTTCAACAAACGATTCTTAAGTCTGCTCTCGTGGTAAACTTTAAATACTCTCGTATTCATCTGCTATGCAAGACTCTTATGAATCAATGAAATTAAATAAATGTCAAAAAGACATTTTATTGAAATGTTTTGGAACATAAAAATATATTTTTCCAAGATTTATCGCAATTGCAGATGACTGATCCCAACACGATCAATCATTTAACTGACTTCGAAGATATATCCATAGATGCTGTTACGAAAACTGGATATCCCTGGATTCTTAATTTAGCAGAGCGAATGAATGCAACGTGAGTTCGATCTCGCAAGAATATTTTAAGGTCTCGTTTAAGTTAAAATGTTAAGTAAAGTCGATGAAGACAATTGGCGAATATTTTCGCGAAACTCCTAAATCGTGAATGTAAGACTCAGAACGACGTAATAAAGCCGTAATTCGATTTCAAGGTTAATTAGCGAGCCTGCAGTGAGGTGATTAAGCGATTACGGTTACATACGTACATACGTCAAACACGATTGTAAATTAATATCAATTAAGTAGTGATGAACGATAAGGTGTATAAAGAAAAACATTCGCTAATAATTAAATATAAGTCGTAGATTGACGTATTTGTTAATTATCGTTCACTCGTATATAATTGCTTATAAGAATCTGAAATTCATCTGATATTCATTACCACACTCGTAATTACTGTGACATAATTTTTTAATTCTCTTTACTTGTCAATTCATATAAATACACATTAAAAATTGTATAATGAAAAAAAAAGTATATCGGAAAAAAAACTTTTATCGTGTAATTCTTTCTTGTGAATTGAGCCTATAGATTAAAATACACGAATTTAAAAATAATTTTTTAAAAAGTACTAACAATTTCAAATTTTTTAATTTTTTAAAGTGAAGAAGTTTCTGATAATTCTTGCAAAAACGAAATAGGATGTGACGACGAGGCACGGTTTTGAAATATAAATATACTATGGTGCTTTAGAATATATCGTTGAAATTCCGCAGTTTTGTTTTACGTTGTAGGATAAGTTTCGAAATCACCGATGATTGGGGATATCCCACAAAGAATGGCTCCTGGAGCGGAATGATCGGGATGCTGAAACGAGGCGAGATCGATATCGGTGGCACCGCTACATTTCTTGTGTCAGAACGTCTCGGTGTTGTGCAATATATTCAATTATATACTAGGACAAGGTAAGAGATAAGCAATCATTTATTAAATTTAAATATATAATTTCATCAATTTTCCATCTCTTTCTAAGAATAGAACTAGAAAGAAAGACGAGAAATCATATGACTTTTGTTACTAATAATAACTCGATATTTATTTAAATTTAAAAAATCGATTATATATAAATGCCTATATTTATGTACGTTTTATATCAATATTTATAGCTCACGTTTTATATTTCGACGACCATTATTGTCGACTGTGAGCAATATTTTGACTTTACCCTTTCAACGTAATGTCTGGATAGCGATTGCCATATTCCTCATTGTCGTCTTTTGTTTACTTTCTTTATCTATCATATGGGAGTATAATCGGAATATAAAAATGACAAAATCAGCAGTTCACTGGCAGCAAATGAATCCCAACAAACCAACAGTCAGTGATAAAGTATTCATTCTCTTACGCGCGTTCGTCCAACAAGGTAAAAACAAATAATAATTTTTGACAATACAATCACTGAATTTGATCTCCAAATATTTTTGAGAAAAATCTTAAGAAAGAGAAAGAGAGATCTATATCTATAAAATAGATTAAATCTCATCTTACTTAAACATTTTCGTTAAAAAACAATCATTACTTCATAAAGTTATAATATAAATTAAATATTTTTATTATTTTATTTTATTTTTAAATTTAATTAATTATTAAATTATTAATTTAAAAATTTCTATTTTCGTAGGATCTTCGTATGAACCGTTTCGAACTTCGTCTCGAATCATTATTTTGATGTTAATGTTAGCTTCCCTGAGTCTCTACGCGGCTTATACAGCGAATATTGTGGGCCTGTTGCAATCTACTACGGATTCTATCAAAAGTCTCTCGGATCTTTTAAACAGCCCGTTAAAATTAGGGGCGCAGGATGTCGTATACAACCGACACTACTTCAAGGTTCGTAGATAGAACAACGACAGTATTGAAATAAATATTTATTAATTTAATAATTTTTTTCAGTGTAATAGTTTTTATAAGTAATAATAATTCAGTGTTTTTTCTAAGGCTTATTATATATTATCAAAATTGTATTAATAATAAGCAATAATTGCAAAAAATATATAAGCATTTTGTGGAATGGCAGTCATTTCAAGATCCTGTTAGAAAAGCGATTGTGGAACAGCGAATCGAACCGAAGGGACGTAAATCGAACTGGATGTCCATGGAAGAAGGTGTAAGTCGAATAAAAAACGAACTCTTCGCGTTCCATGGTGAAATCGGATCGTTGTATCAGATAATGGAAGCTACATATCAGGAGGACGAAAAGTGCGGCCTGACTGAGATCGATTTCTTAAAAGTCCTATATCCGCTTCTCGTCATACAAATACAGTCACCGTATTTAGAAATAATAAAAAATGGGTAAAATATCTTGCGAATTATCTTTATGCAAATATATGTATGTCAAAGTTTCAATTACTTAGCAGAAAAATTCTTAAAGATTTACTCTGACGAATATTATGGAAAAAACAGTAATATTATGTGACGATCGATACGCAGAAAAAATGTTTTCAGGGCTCTAAAATTGGGAGAATACGGACTCAAACATCGCGAGGAGTATCGTTTATATACCAGAAAACCGGAGTGTTCGAGTCAGACTAGTTTCATTACTATCGGTATCACGGAATGTTATTTCTCTTTGGCCATAATGGGCTACGGAATACTTCTCTCCGTAATAATATTTGCCCTCGAATTATTGTGGCATAAAAAGTAAAATATAATAGAAATATCATTTAAGTAATTAATATTAATTATGTGTCTTCAAATATGTCATTGCTGCAATTTTTTTATAGGCAAAACGCGTTGGAAAAACGTCAGATGCAAAAATCATCAATTGCTCCGAATTGCCAGTAAAAATGTATATTCATAAACAAAAGGTACAAAAGTAAACCTTTTCTAAATATGTTGCTATTATACATTAAATTGGAATGTGATTTTGTAAGAAACCTTATTAGAAATTTTATTTTTTTTTGGTTAAATGCCATATCTTTACAATGACAGTAAATAGTGAATCGACGTCTTTTTAATGTGCACTAGTATAATATAAAATAATTGTCTGTAGAAAGTAGGTATATACGCAATACTGTTTAAAAGGAAGATTACGTTTTAAAAAAAGATTATTTAAATACCTTCTATGTAACACTGTGAAATAAATTACTTGTGAATGTGTGTAAAATGTTATAAATAGATCTTTTAACGACAATATATGAAATTATTAATTTTGGAATATATGCGTACAAATGTCACAGATAAATCAAATAAGTCAAAATATCGGCCACGATATTTTAAATTATATTATAAAAATATCGACTAAAATATTTTTATTTTGCTAAAATAAAAAAAAATATAACAAATTTACAAAATATTCTCCGGCCGATCTTAGATCCATTCTTTTCAGCTGTACTTTTTTTCACAGCTTTGGTTTTTCCTAAATATTTTCTCTTCTCTTCTTTTCTTTCCATTTCACTATGAGTGACGAATCACTCTCTAAATATGGCTGAACACGGCTGAAAAGAACAAACCTTTTGACTGTAGGCTACCATACGTGTATCGCTGAACAAGCGTTAAACCCGTGCCGGTAAGAAATGTTCGTAATAGTTCTTCGTGAAGTCTACCATGAGATCCAGCGTGCACTCAGGCAGTTCTTCCACACACGTGGCCGGACTACCAGCGAAACGAGTGAAGGACGGCACGATAGTTTCAGGTGGCACGACCGCGCCGTCCTCGATGTAGCAACAGTCCTTTAAGACAGATCGCCTGCCCTACAGCGAGACAAGTATGGTAGATTGAAAGAATAATGCGCTTATACTTACACACAGACACACTAGACGATTATTGTACATACGATTATGGCGTTCTTCCCTATGTAAACGTAAGAACCGACTAATGCTGCATTTACAACAGCCCGCTCTCCCACAAATACATGGTTTCCCATTGTTAGAGGAAAAAAGGCAACCCTAATCAAAGGGATTTATTGCTTTTTAACAAAACAATATTTTGATGATTCTTAGAGTTTGATGTGATTGCAGAATTGTGATTGCTTGCTGCATCGCAAGCTATCAGTATATGAATATACATGTTTGCTGGCGTTATGCGATGTGCTTCAAGATTTTCGATAAGCAAATAGAAGCAATGCAACGCATGTAAATATATATAAAATATATCTGACTCACCCTCTGCTGAACTTTTTGAACGGAGGTCGGATGACTGCATTTTTGCTAATTATGCAATAGCGACCAGTCCTGACATTTGCCAGATCACCTCTGATGATAGCATCAGATTGTACTATCACTTTTCCGTGCAATACAATATTCTGCGAGCCACACAGTACTGTCAGCCTGCTCACCTTATTTCCTGAAGCCTGAAATGCCAAAAGAATAAGGTTATGTATCACGTTATGTAGATATTTGCAAATGCGACAAGTATTACAAAATAATTAAATTGCTTTTATCGTTATGTTTGATAAGTATAATATTTTTGTTTTTCAACACTAGATGTTCTCGATCAATGTATTTTTCAAATATTGTATTCTTTGACATTGTTTACATCTATTATACCGTTTCAACGTATTCAGCTTTGTTATAATAAATATCCTGCGGCTCCATCTCGATATATTCTTCTATGATACAATCGTATGTTGATTAAATTATTATAAATTAAATAACGCTTCTATTAAATATCACAAATAATGAATACAGAATCAGGAAATTTGTCACTTTAACTGCCATCAGCTGACACAAAATCAAATGCGCACCGCCATCTGCTGACAAAATCATGCATTATTTTACGTCATAGAAAAGCTGCGCGCGTAAATTTAAATCTTCACTAAGAAGCACAAATACATTTAAATCACGTAAAAAAATACTGCTTTACTAACTTTGATGTAAAAAAGTTATACAAAGTATTATAGTATAATTAAAATTATCTTATCGTATCTCTTCATTTCTTCAACTCTTCATTTTTCAATGTTAATAAATATTTATTAATAAGTCCGATTTAAATACTATCTCATCCCGTTATCATACATTATGTAATACAGTGATATATTCCGTGTATATATATATATATATATATATATATTAATGTAAAAATTAATTACTAAAATATTTTAAGATCGATCTCGATTTTGTAGCTTTATTAAATAGCATATGTAAAATAATATCGTAAATTAAATTTTAAGTATAATATATCGATTACAAAACAAGAATAATTAGCGTTTATCTCATTTTCTGAATATTTATAACGCAATATATATCAATAAAATTAATGCAATATCAGTCAAATTAATCTTTTCATCTAAAGAAATTATTTTCTTTTAGCAAAATCTAAAAAATGTATGCAATATATAAATTACACATTTATAATTTAAATAGTTTTTTTAAATATTCAATAAAAGATCAAATTTTATATTTTTTATACTTTATATTATTTTATATTTTATATTATTATTGAAATTTTGATGACATTTTGATGATGTAAGTACTAATTAACATCATAAAGTTTGGTAAACGTATAACATGCTGATTGCAGATGGGAATGATGCGGAAGTTGTTTACAGTCAATTATGCGAATTAGATTTATCGCAACTTTATAGTTTTATGATAGCACAAACACATACATGATTAAGATGATATTTACCATTTCATATTAGAATTTTGTCACGAGTGCGTCTTATAATCTGCTTGTTTAGAGTATTCAACGAACGAGATTTTTTTAAAAATATTTCGATTTCAAAGAATAATTAAATAATTAAATAAAAAATAAACTATTACGTTATATATGCATAATTAGATTAAATATGTTAAGATTTATATTATGCATTTAAATGTTTTGCAATAAATTTTTTTACATCCTAACAACTGGTTTATTTAATTTAAAAAACCATTTAAATTGATATGTCTTTACTTTAAAAATTAAATATGAAAAACTCGAGTGTATAAATGATTCTAACAAATAATGATACGCGCGATTAACAAATAAAATTTATAAATTAGATGATAAGTGTAAAGAAGTTGATAGAAGATGATAGATAAGAATGAAGAGTTTAAAGGATTAAATCAATGATCTGCGCATGGGGCAAAAGTTTTCAACAATAATTGCAAGAACCCTATGCTTATTATATAAACCTCTTGTAACACATTTGTATAAATTACTAAAAATAAAATATTATATATTACCGTTTGATATGTGCTCATTTAAAAAAATATTGATAATTTTTCAATGAATATTTACAACAATGTTTTATTTCGGAGAGATTTATACAATATCAAAAACTCAAGTCCTCGTAAAGCTTGATAAAAGAAAAAAAGATGAAGAAAGCAATTTCTACACTATTTAAAAAAATTAATGATACTGCTAACATATCTGTGAAAATAGCGATAATACAAAAGAAAATATCATAAAAATTGATTGGAAGATAACATTGACGTTATTATCCTAATAATCTATTTCTTTTAATCTTTATTCCTTAGCGAGTATTGCATTTGATGCTAAATAAAACCGTGCTATTATAAACTTGATTATCTGATATGAGAATCGCGTTAAATGATTACGAGTATAAAAACAAATATACTTTCGATATCAAATTTTTTATATTTTCTAGTTTTTCTTTCAGCATCATGACATTTAATTTAATGCGAACTTGATTTACCTGATATCAAGATAGGATTTAACACAAAATGTACTAATATGAGCGCAAAAGTAAACTTCTCTCTCGCGATAAGAGAAGATTTGTTGCACAATCCCTCGAAAGTTATAATCATAAAATTATAAACGCATGATAAAAGAAATGTAAGTGGTTCAGCTGCAATCCTTCGTTTCTTTCATCAATTCTTTACACTATAACTATCGTCTTGAATATTCGAAAAAGCCTTCGTGAGAAAAAGGAAAGCTGGTTCCAAAGAGGAAATTGTTCCAATAAGTATCTAGAAATAAGGATATAATCAGCTCATCAATTATGCCAAAACTGTATTACGCCAAACGAGCATCTATTGAATACTTCAATATTTAAAAAGACCTAATAGTACTCGTTATCGTTAATAAGGTTCCCCGTACATTTGCGGATCCGTTAAATTACTACGTACGAATTTTAGAACTATTATGAATATCGAAAGATTATAGTACGAGAAATTATGGTACGCGCATATAAATTCAATCGATAATTTCAAACAATCTCCGCAGTTACTTAAAGAAGACAGAAGTGAACGAAATGATCCTCTTTATCCTCTTCTATCTCGCGTTTTCGCTGAACCGTGATGTAATCGCGTCATCTCGCGTCGATGACGTTATTGTAAGATTTATCGTCAACGCAACACCTATCCTATTCCCACCTTCGAAGCTATCTCTACAATTGTGCATCGGATACGGCAAGACTTTAATGATGATAAATGTGTCAATCACCCATTGAAAAAAAAAATTACGAAATTTTCAACAAAAATTAATTTAAAAAGCGATTATTATTATTATATTGTTAAATTAATCTTTTTCAGTAAGAACATGCTGCTAAAAATGTGTCATTCAATTAAACATTCAATAAAAACATCATAATTTCGAAAAATATAATCTTGATTAAACAATTTCATTGATTAAAACATTTGATTCTTCAGATAGAGTATCATCCTTACACATTTTCCCCATTGTAAAAAGTTATATAATAATTTATTCTATATATATATATAATGCAATATGTGTGTATGTCATACCTTCATTACGTATATTCATTTTCTAAACAAATGCATAAGAAATACTTAGTGCATTTTATTTAACTCTAATGTCTCTCACAGATGAAACGATTAAGTTATCAAGAATATTATCGAAGAATCAATTAATGCATAGCATTCGTAACTCCTACGAAGAATTCAACCCACGAATTTATAACAATTTAGAACATCAAAATTTATACGTGCTCGACTTGGATTGCAATTATGCCAGTGATGTTTTACAACAGGTAATATGCAACATGTTTCTGTACAAAATGTCGCAAAAATCTATAAGTATTTTAATAAAACAAATTTTGAATAAATTTCCTTTACAACAAGGAAAAATATGTGATAAAAACCAATATTGGAAAATAACAAAAAATATCTATTTGTTACTTCTGTATTGAAAAAGTGTAATTCTAATAGAAAGTAATAACAGAGTTGTAAAGTAATAATGATCAATAAGAATTTTCAAAACGTTAGATTGCATTTCAAGATTACGTATCTCGTACATATATATTTTCAAAAAAAATTTTACTTCTTGCATATCGTTCTCAGATATCAATATTTCTTTATATTGTTGACAAATTTATTTAGAATTTAAATTATATATTATATTAAAAATAATATTAAAATTTTTTAATCTTAAAAAATATCTGATATATAGTTGTCAAAATCACAATGCGAATACAAGTACTAATATTAAATATCGTAGGCAAATATTTTAATACAATAAATGTCGATAACATAATTAATTAGATTTTTGCGCTACTATACATCAATAAAAATCACTAAAGATTGGCTACCAAAATCACAAAAAATTACAATTTCTTTATTCTTTACTTAAGTATAATACTTCTAATTATCACAATTTTAAAAAAATGACAGGCACATTCGAAGAAAATGTTTGTCGCCCCGACAAAGTGGCTTCTCCTTCAAAATAGAAGAACGCTAATTAATAATGACGATAACGCCAATCTAACTTCTACATATGATGATTCGATTTTGGAGATTTTCGAAACTTTAGCCGTCTATCCTGATAGCGATGTGGTTCTCGCAAAAAGATTCAACGATGATTTTCTACAACTAACATCCGTATATCGGCCAAGTTCGCAGCGAGGAGTTATATGGGAAGATCGCGGAAATTGGACGATCGATAATGGTTTGCGAATGAAAACTTTCGACGTCGCCTCGGCACGCAGAAGAAATCTTCAACAATCAGTTTTAAAATCAGCTGTCGTGGTACTTTAAATGCTGCTACATTTATTTATCATGTCCTTATATAAATATCAACGAATATATTTATAAGTCAAAGATCATTTTAATTCGAAGCAGAATATAACACCACTTATATAATTATTAAAATATTATACAAATAATTATACAAATATCATGATGTAGCTATAATTTTAAATATTTAAAATGTTGTTGAATATAAAATTATATATTATACAACTATAGATAACAAATCCCAATACGCGCAATCATCTAACTGATTTCAAAGATAAATCTATAGATGCTCCTACAAAGGCTGGATATCCATATATATTTTATTTGACAAAACGAATGAATGCAACGTGAGTTCGATACTCGACATTACTCCAACATTGCAAAATATTTCGACATTATTATTAAAACATTAAATATCAATATTAATAATATTTTATAAAGTTTTGATTAAAGAAATCATTTTTTAAATCAATTTTCATAAATCAATTCGATTTTTTTGTGAATTAATTTCTGTTTGCGATAACAAAATTCGATATGATAAATTATGAATCTTGTAGAAGAAAATATATTTGTGTATGTAAGTGTGTAATGCTTCAAATTGCTGATTGTGAGTCCAAATTGCATATTTTTGATTTGTCCAATAGGATAAATATCGAATTTACAAACACCTGGGGATATCCTACAAAAAATGGTTCCTGGAATGGAATGATCGGGATGCTGGATCGACGCGAGATCGATATTGGTGGCTCAGCTGCATTTATTACACCAGAACGTCTCGGTGTTGTACAATTTATCCAATTGTACACATGCACTAAGTAAAATAAGCAAAAATCATTTATTTGATTCTATTAATTTTCCAATATTTTTTTCTAAAGATAGAACTAAAAATAAAGATCGAAAAACATACGTACGATTTTAATAATTTAACTTGATGCTTATGCAAGTAAAAGAAAGAATCAGTTATGTATATGTATAAAACTGCTATTAATTACAAATATTTGATATAAAATGTGTATTATTACAGAGTGCATTTTGTATTTCGCAAACCATTATTGTCGAGTGTGAGTAATATATTTACATTGACCTTTCACCGAAACGTCTGGATAGCCATTGCCGTGTTTCTCATCTTAGTCCTTTGTTTGCTCTACTTGTCCATCAAATGGGAATGTTATTGTAATAGAAATGTAACAAAATCAGCAGCTTACTGGAAGCAACTAAATCCCAGTGAGCCAACAATCAGCGATAACGTACTCATTCTTTTAGGTGCATTTGCTCAGCAAGGTAGAGAAAAAATAATTTTACTACAATGTAATCATTCATGAACACAAGAGATTTTCGAATAGGTATTATTCATGACCGATAAAAAATTTCGAGATTTGAATTTATAAAATATAAATAAAATACCATCTTAGTTGAATATTTTCATCAACGCAATCATTACTTATATGAATTAAATATATTTGAATTATGTTGAACATAAAAATTAATTTTCTATATTTTTATAGGATATGCGTACGAACCATATAAAGTCTCGTCCCGGATTGTCACTTTAATGTTACTATTGGCTTCCCTGAGTCTCTATGCGGCTTATACAGCAAATATCGTGGGCCTGTTGCAATCTACAACGAACTCTATTAAAACTCTCGCGGATCTTTACAACAGCCCGTTAAAATTAGGTGCAGAGGACGTCGCGTACAATCGATATTACTTCAAGGTTTGTAGATCAAAACAACGAAAATTATATGAAATTATATGCTACATTTCATTATTATCAAGTATTGTATGATTTATTACAAAATTAATAAGAAGAAATAATTGTGAAAATAAAATGAGTACTTCTTATGTATTTATTATTTCGTTTAAATGAATTTTATTAATATCATCTGACAACTGTATTACGTTTAATAGCTCTTATAGCCCTTCTTTGTTTACAATTATTAAGTTTAACAGAGCTAATTACTATTTTTATTAAAATGAGTACGTTGTGGAATGTCAGATCGCTCAAGATCCTGTTAGAAAAGCAATTGCGGAGCAGAAAATTGAACCGAAGGGACGAAAATCCAATTGGATGTCCGTAGAAGAAGGTGTAAGTCGTATTAGAAACGAACTCTTCGCATTTCAAGGTGAACTTGGGACGTTATATCAGTTAATGGAAGCTACATATCAGGAGGAAGAAAAGTGCGGTTTGACTGAGATTGATTATTTAAAAGTCCCGGAACCACTTTTTGTAATTCAAATACAGTCGCCTTATTTGGAGATAATAAAAAACGGGTAAGGAAATATCCCGATCTATTTTTTATACAAATAGAAATTCGTGTAAGTTTAAAGTATCTGACATTAAAAGATCTTGAAGTATTTAAGATCTAACACAGAATATTACTTGAGATTACTCGAGAAAAATTCTATTAAAGCGTCTATTTTATAATATAATAATATATTGTTCGTATGAATTGACAACCTTGTAATGAAATAATTCTCTACTATTTGATACTCAGGTAACTTATTTTCAGAGCCCTGAAACTACGAGAATACGGACTCAAATATCGTACAGAGTATCGCTTGTTTACAAAAAGGCCGGTATGTTCGAGTAAGACTAGCTTCATCACTATCGGTTTCACGGAATTCAACTTTGCTCTGATCATAATGGGCTACGGAATGCTTTTAGCCACTATTGTGTTTGTGCTCGAGTTGTTATGGCACAAGAAGTAAGATATAAAATTATTGCGTGTTGCTTCATTAGTTATTTTTATATTTTCTTTGACAGACAAAAAGCACGTGCGTTAGAAGAAGAAACGTCAAATGTGGAAACTATCTCTTACACTGAAGAAATAGATTAATATTTACGGACATATGCATCTACTCGTCCAAAGGAAATCAAATAAATATGACATTTACTGATTTTTTTGTTGTTGTATCTTTAAATCTACAAGGAAAATCTTTAGGTGAAACTTTATTAGAAATTGTGCTCGTTGAATTGTTCTGCACTTTTAAAACAACAACACATAAAAAATTAATGTTATTTTATTGTGAGCTAATACGATGTAAAAAAATTACAGATTAGAAGATATACACTCAGCTCTAATTTATATACATATGGAAGGAAGATACTTTTAACACTTTTAAATTTCATGCAAAATATTGTGTAAAATAAAGAGAATTAAATGTGTGCAAAAACGAAAGAAGAAAGCGCGATAATCTTATATAATAAAAAAATACATCCTACTCTTATTAAATATAATTTCACACGCGAATGCAAACACAAACACACACACGTAATTAATCATTAACAGATAATATAATATTAATCAGTATATTAGATCAATAAATATCAATATATTGTAAATTTATCACTAGAACAATGACTGTTTACTTGAGACGGTAGACTTATATAAATATTTTGCTACATTCAAAACGGAATTATAAACACAAATTTCGTCAAACAAAATAAATATAAATATGAATAATGATACTTAGTTTATATCAATCTTACTTATTATAAAATTATTTATAAATATAATAAAAATAATAAAATGTTTACTGTCACATTAAAAGAAAATTTCGCCAACATATTTGGAAATCAAAGTAAAATAAACAACGTACACACCGCACGATTTCCACAACTCAAATGCAGCAAAATATTATATAAACCTCAGCTGTGGATTTTCACATACTAAAACATACATTCCCTTTCTTTGTCATGGAGATTCTTTGCACTATTATTATCCCAGACTCTATTTGCCTATTTTCTACTATTAGGAAAAATTTGTGAGAACCACGAAAGCTGGCGAAAGCTTCAAATTGCATGTTTCGTGATACCTAATGAAAAATCAGTTCGCAGACTATATCATAACAACATAACATCCGTCACAAAGACTGAATATTTCATATGCAATAATAATGTTTGCAATGCACACATGCTCATTGTGCGCCAATTGTTCCTTCATTACATTTTTCTAGAGACCCACAGATGGCATTTATTACAGGCGAAATTACGTAAAATCAGTACATATGCGAAAAAATACAGGGTACATAAATAATTGGTATTATCGATCTCGAATATTTCGAAGGGAGCTGCGCAGTTGTTTGATGGATACAAGAACGGTCAGAATGTTCTCTATTGTCCTGTATATCTTTGCACTGTGGCTCAAAAATGATATAATAGTGCTCTCTTATCAGATCGACGATGTTACTCTAAAATTTATCGACGACACGATGCCTATATTATTCCCGCCGTCGAGAATAACTTTACATTTGTGCATCAACCATGGTAAGATTTCCGAATTCATATACTCACATATTTACATATTTGGACTTACAAAAATTTTAAATAAAACACATAAAACAGCACAAAAATAATTGAATAAATAATAATAAATTAGGAAACAAAGATTGCGTTAAAATCACAAATTATAACGTTGTCAGATGCAAATTATAAATATCTGTTATAATAAATCACATTATATAAAAATAAAATCTTATTACACAGCTATAAAATCACCAAAATGTTTTTAATTTTTAAGTAAGAAAAAATATATAAAAAACATTCAACAATTTTGTTCATTTCAATTCTTGGTCTCTTCTCAGATGACACGATTAAATTATCGAAGAAACTGTCGAGTCTTTACTTAATGCATGACATCTATAATAATGTCATCCCAGATTTCAACAAGAAAATTTACGATGACTTGAAGCATCAAAATTTGTACGTCCTGGACCTGGACTGTAATGACGCCACTAAAATCTTACAACAGGTACTATGTATTTTCTGTAAGTTTATTGTGAATATGATGTAAGCGCAAACGTATATATTGCCATCGACTATCAAATTAAAAAAAATAAAACTATGATTTACACACACATCACTCACTTAATTAATATTAATTCTGCCCATAAAATAACATTTATTCACTGTTAATCAATATACCCGTTTTATGTTCAATTATAGTAAAAATGAAGTCATAACCATTAAGGGCCGGCTTTTTAATAATAATTTAAACTTAGATCGAAGTGTTTTAAATAAACTCCCAGAGCCGTAAAAAATAATTTCTCTCTCTCCTATTTTTCTATAAACAAATAAATTATAATCGTTATCCGATATTATACAATAGGTAAATGTGAATAAAATGTTCGTCGCCCCGATGAGGTGGCTGCTCCTTCAGGATCGAAGAACACTAATCGATAATGATAATAATATCACATTAATTTCTATGTATGATAATTCGATTTCGGAGATTTTCGAGGATTTAGCCGTCTATCCTGACAGCGATGTTGTCCTTGCAAAAAGATTCGACGGTAATTTTCTACAATTAACATCCGTATATCGGCCAAGTCCGCAGCGAGGAGTTATATGGGAAGATCGTGGAAATTGGACGGTCAAAAATGGTCTACGAATGAAAACTTTCGACGTGGCGTCAAGACGTAGAAGAAATCTTCAAAAAACGACACTTACATCTGCTATCGTGGTATTTGAAATATGTATTTATATTCGAGAAGATTTTCTTATATATCTTAGTATCCAGCATGATCAAAAATCATAATTGCAAGCTAACATAAAGTACGACTAAGTTTTTAAGAAGAAACAATGATAATAATACACAGTAGTAAAATAATAATAAAAATAAAAGTAATACGAAGAGAAAATAAAGATCCAATTAAAATACGTTGAGACATAATTATTCCGAATTTTAAATATTTTTATATATTTTAAAGAAAAATACATTATTCTATTTTCCAGGTATATAATCCTGATACTATAAATCATTTGACTGATTATCAAGATCCAAATGCTGATCCGATTACAAAAATTTCTTATATCTGGGTAAACCATTTAATAAATCGGATGAATGCAACGTAAGTCATGCTTTCTAACGTCTTTGTAATGTAAAAATATTTATAAAAGAGATGATGGTGACAATTCTCTGTTAATGTTACCTCGCAAATTTGTCATTTGTAAAATTTATATAATGTTTAAAATATATTTGATTTTTAATGTGACATAATCATATAACAATTATAGTATTAATGGAACTATTACAATATATCAAAAATAGTTAAAAATAATTTTCAATTACATTATGATGTGTGCACGATTAAATATACAAATGCAGCTAATAGCTGAATTTAGAAAATTAATAAATTGAAACTTTGTATTTTAACATTCATTTGTGATAGATTTATAAAATAATCAATATCATTTAACACCATCAATACTTTCATATTCATAATTTTATGATTTATATATAGAATAAATTTCACAATTGTGGACGATTGGGGAAAAAGATTGGAAAATGGAAGTTTTCTTGGAATGGCTGGGATGTTGGAACGACACGAAATCGACATCGGTGGTACTGTTATGTATATAGTAGAAGATCGCATGCGTAAAGTAAAATATGTCCCATTAAATGTGAACATAAGGTAAAATCGTATTTCTGCTAACTGAATGCGATCAGTCATCTCGTTGATTACTAAAATGTTATATCATATTTAGGTGCTACTGTATTTAAAACTGACAAAATCTAACAATGTAGTTACTATCTAAAAATATGTATCGTCAATATTATTATTAATAATATAATAATAAATTTTTATATTTTTTGTTCATTATATCAGTACTAATTATTATGATATTCAATCTATTCTGTATATCTATCAGTTATAATTATTGATATAATGTATAAAATTTGTAGAACGTTATTTGTATTTCGACAACCGTTATTATCGACCATGAAAAATATCTTTATATTACCCTTTGCAAAAAATGTTTGGACAGCAATTGCCATATTTCTTCTTGTCGTTTTTTGTTCATTATATTTATCTATGAAATGGGAATATTATCGGAATACAATGAAAAAATCGTCAGTTACCTGGAAAGATACTCATATCGGCAATCCGACACTAGGCGAAGATTTTCTCATTCTTTTAGGCGCATGTGCTCAACAAGGTATACAATTTAATTGAACAATAAATTTTGCCATTCTTAATTTATAAGTTAAATATTCTTAATTTTAAGAGTCAACTTATAAACTGTGTTCATCTTTATAGGTTATTCGTACGAACCATATAAATTTGCAGCCAGAACGATCACTCTTATGTTATTGGTAGCTTCATTGAGTCTTTACGCGTCTTACACAGCAAATATCGTGGCTCTTTTGCAGTCTCCTTCGGATTCAATCAACACCCTCTCCGATCTCTTCTATAGTCCTCTAACTCTCGGCGCGGATGACCTTCCATTCTATCATTATATGTTCGAGGTTGATAAATTGCGAGAATAAATTGTTCAAAACAAAAATTGAAATAACAAAAAATGTCAATGACAAAATTATAATTTCCATATGTAGGATTATGAAGATTCTCTTAGAAAAGCTATTCTGGAAGAGAGAATCGAACCGAAAGGACGCAAGTCTAATTGGCTAAGTCTGGAGGAAGGTGTAAGTCATATAAAAAATGAATCATTTGCATTTCATGCTTCCGACGCTCGAATATATTACTACATGCAACAGACGTATCAGGAAACAGAGAAATGCGGTTTAACTGAAATTGATTATATGAACGTAATACCACCACATATAGCATTGCCACTACAATCGCCATATTTAGAGATAATAAAAAATGGGTAAGATTATGTTTATATGAATTATATAATATTTTCTCGTAATATAATAATACTATATAACTAAGAAAATATGCAAATTAAAATCTAACATCAACTCATCATGTCATAGTAAGTATACATATATGCATTAGTCGAAAAGTATAAAGCATCCATTTTAAATTAGGATAACAGTAAATTAATACAATGACAATGTTGTGAAATAAAAGAATACCTTAAAAAAAATCGTTAACGTTTAATTTAAAAAATTTAATATTGACAACTATTTCATTTCATAACTCTTTTATTCAATTGTTATTAAAACATATTGTTATTAAACAATTTTTGTGTACTTTTGGTCAAGACTATATGTAGTATATTCCTAAAGGTTAATTTTGAAATATGCAATATTATGTAAATATTTTGAATAAAAAAGAAATCCATTGCTATAATCGATCGAAAATTTATCGTCATAAGAACCATCGGTTTTTTTTCAAACCGTATGTTTTCAGAATCGCGTAAAAACAACCAAACAATAATTAAGTAATAGTTAACTGTTTAATTAATTAACTGTAATTAAAAAAATTATGTAAAACAGATTATCTAGATAAGCTAGTGGTTTTGTATTTAACAATTATGCATCAATAATTAAGAAGACATATTTCTGAAATTAATATGTAAAAATATCTATGAATAGAATGTTTTTTTCTATATGTATTCCTTTCTAAAAAAAAATTTCAAAACAATTATATTTCTATGCGTAACAATTGACGTTTTAATGTTAAGTTTTAAATTGTACGTTTCCAATGATAAATTTATTTATACATTAATCTTGAAGATTACGATGCACAAACACACACACACACTCTCATAAATTGAAAGTAGAATAAATTAGAATAAAATACAATACTTAGCGATATACATGTTGAATGCTTAAAGCGTAATATTCTTTTCAGTGCTTTGAAGTTATGGGAAAATGGACTCAAACACCGCGATGAATATCGTATACTTACAAAAAAGCCAAAATGCACGAATTCAGCTAATTTTATCAGTGTTGGTTTCACAGAATGCCGGTTTGTGATTCTTGTAATGAGTTACGGATTCTTGATTACTCTAATCGTATTTGCACTGGAGTTGGTATGGCACAAAATGTAAGATTTAATCTTATTTAAAATCTCACTCACGAACATCCAGGTTAGATTAATGCTAATATTACATTTCCTTTTGCAGACAAAATCAATTTACAACAAAAGAGACAGTTCCAATTGTGAAAGAAAATGAAGATCTCGAAATTACCGAATATAATTAGTAATATTGACTAGATTATTTCAAGAATACACATTAATCCTAAATGTTACATAAACAGATGTATATTAATATTTTCTACATTTTTGTACGAAACAAAACTCTTTTCTTCATTATTTTTAGCGTATTCTCTTCACAACTTTAGAGCGCGTACGCGCGCGCGATTAAAAGTTGAAAAAATGATTAATGTAGCGCACATAAATATGGTGTATAATAATTAATATAATTTTATTTGTTTAAAAAAAGCTGGCACATTTTTTTGGATAAATTACATATTGTTCCTTGCAAAAATATATGTATTTCTCCATGAAATATACAGAATTTCTGTTTCGTCAATACTAAGTCTTAAGATACGTCTTACAACATAAATAATAAAACACTTTAAATAAAGATTGTAATTCATATTGTTATGTGTATTCTTTCATAACAAATGAGAAAAAAAACTTATTTTATTCATTATTATTATTATTATATTCACATGATTTAGTTAAATTATGATAATAAAAACTAATTCATCATTATAAAATAAAAAACATTTCTAATCGAGAAATATATTAATTTAAGATTATAGTCTTTGCGACGATGTGTTTAACATTATTACTTGAAATTTTCGTATATTCTAAAATAATATATTCACCTTTGTATATTTATTTATCTAGGCAATTTATAAACATAAAACAAATGTATGTATCTACGAATAGCAATATAAAATAAAATTAATTAGTAGATGATGAGAATTTAAAAAATTAAATCACGATATGCGGCAAAAAATCTTAAAAATAATAATAAATGCTACAACGCTTTATAGTAAAGTTAGAACGTCTTTAAAAATATCTGAAAATAATATATTTTCCCAGATAGCACAAGCTATTCGAAAAGAATTCATTCGTATGTCACCGATTTTGAGTCCCTTTTCAAATATACATATAGAATTTATTTTGCAAAAAAAATTCTATATGTATTTGAAAAGGGACTCAAAATTGGTGACATACAAATAAATTCTTTTCGAATAGCTTGTGTTATCTAGGTTATTATCGTTTTTCATTATCATTATGTATTCACATATTCATGTAGTATATGTATTATATATTTAGTTGTACACTTTCCTGAATATTTACAATTAAAAATTTGCATAAGTTTCAAATTCTAAACAAAGATATTTGTACTGAAATATTAAATAATACGAGAATAATTCCATCATATGAAATCTAAAGTCCTAAGCCTGAAGAATAAATCCTATCCTATCGAAGAATAAACTGATGTATTAATAGAAACAAGAAACTGTTACGAAAAATTAAACCTAATTATTAACAATAATTGAAAATAACTTTGAAAATATTTGTCAGATTTGAACTGCAATTACACCAGTAATATTTTAAAATAATCATAAATAATAAAAATTTTGATACACAACTTTATATTTTTAAAGATTTTAAAAATAAAATAATTTTAAAATAAATTTTATTTAAGAAATTGTGTAAAAAAATATGATTAAAAACTGATATTAAAAACGACAGAAAATATCCACAATTTGCTGTTTCTGTATATGAAAAAATTTTGACAGGATACATAATGAATATCTGTAGCGTTTGAGTATTTTTGTATGTCATCAATTTTGAGTCCCTTGTAGGCGCAAGCAGCGTCTTTACTACTGATTCTATAGCTGTTGTCGCGCGACGATATTGGCTACTCGACGTCCAGCCTAGGTACAATTAAAAAGCTCACCAATTGATTTGCAAATTAATTTAAACTACATAATCACACATACAAGCCACAAGGTTAAGTGTAGTAATAAATTATATAAATGTCAACTGTGATTTTTCACAAACTAAACATACACTCGCGATTTTCTTTGTCATCGATATTCTTTACACTATTATTAACATCCCAGTTTCTATTTGACGACTGCATTCTTAAGAAAAATTTGTAAAAACCATGAAAGCTAAAAAGACCTTCAAATTACACATTTCGCGATATGCGATAAACAATCAATTTGCAAGTTATACTAGGTAAATGTAGTATTCGTCAAAAAGATTAAATATTTCACATGCAGTAACAATGCTCTCGCAATGCACGCATGCTTATTGAACGTCAATTTCTTCTCCTCGTTTTCATTTTCCAAATACTCAAAAAAATTAATGATTTTCGTGACACATAAAATTATATAAAACCAGTACATATGCGAAAAAATTATGGGGCACGGATAGTCGATATTTTCGATTCTGAATTTCCCAAAGAGATATTGCGCAGTTGTTCGGCGTATACAGAAACGTATCAGTATGGTCTCCATTGTCTTGTGTATCTTTCCATTGTTACTTAGTAATGACATGATTGCATTCTCTCATCGGATCGACGATGTTATTTTAAAATTTCTCGTCGATACAATGCCGATATTATTCCCGCCATCGAGGGTATCGCTACACTCGTGCATCACATATGGTAAGAATTTTCGAATTCATCATTTTATGTATTGGATAAAGGAGATTTAAAAAAAAATAGTATATAAAATTTCACCAATGATAACTGAATAAAACATAATAAATTATAAGTCAAATTAATTTTTAAAGTCTGAGTTTATAATGCAGTAAAATTATAGGTAAATATATACACTGTAATTGTTTATATACCAAAATAAAATGTCATTATAGAACTATATAAGATCACGATAATTTTTTTCCATTTGATGAAACAACAATAAAAAATACAGAGTGTCCTAGTCTAAATAATGCATCGCTATTTCTCAAAAAAAACACTTCCAACGAAAAATGTTTCATACCAGTTATGATTTGGAGGACATCTTGCCATAAAAATAGTCTTATTTAAGGTTTATTCCATCCTGACACATCTTGACAAAAATATGAAATATCTCGTATGCACTCATTTTTCGATAATAACGATAATAATATTCGATAATAACATTAATAATATTCTGCATAAAATTATGAGATAAATCAAGTTAGTGTAGAATATCATTGTTATTTAAAAAAAAAGTACGCAGTTGCACACTGCAAATTATAAATTCCTTTTCTTGCTTTTTTTCATCACAACACTATATTACAAAATATTTCATATTTTTTGTCAAAAGTCAGGGTGAAGTATAAAATATTATTCGCATTTCAAGATGAAGTCGGGTTGTAGTATCAGTTAATAAAAGCTACATACCAGAAGGAAGGAAAGTGCACTTGACTGAGATTGATTTTTTTAAATCTCGAAACTACTTTTTGTGATTTAAATGCAGTCGCCTTATTTGGAGATAGTAAAAAGCGAGTAAGAAAGTATCTCGAATTATATTTTACACAAATATAAATTCGTGCAAGTATTGACATAAAAAGATCTTTAAGTATTTAAAAGGATCTAACACAGAATATTACTTAAGATTACTCGAAAAAAATTCTATTTATTTCGTTTGACGACACAAATGTTGTCAAATAAAATAAATATGAATATGAATAATCATACTTAGTTTATAATGAATTTTTCTTGTTATAAAATTATTTATAAATATAATAAAAATAATAAAATGTTTACTGTCATATTAAAAGAAAATTTTGCCAACATATTTAGAAATCAAAGTAACACAATAACTTACAAACTGCACAATTTACACATTTCAAATGCAGCAAAATATTATATAAACCTCAGCTGTGGATTTTCACACACTAAAACATACATTCCCTTTCTTCGTCATGGAGATTCTTTGCACTATTATTATCCCAGACTCTATTTGCCTATTTTCTACTATTAGGAAAAATTTGTGAGAACCACGAAAGCTGGCGAAAGCTTCAAATTGCATGTTTCGTGATACCTAATGAAAAATCAGTTCGCAGACTATATCATAACAACATAACATCCGTCACAAAGACTGAATATTTCATATGCAATAATAATGTTTGCAATGCACACATGCTCATTGTGCGCCAATTGTTCCTTCATTACATTTTTCTAGGGACCCGCAGATGGCATTTAATACAGGCGACATTACGTAAAATCAGTACATATGCGAAAAAATACAGGGTACATAAATAATTGGTATTATCGATCTCGAATATTTCGAAGGGAGCTGCACAGTTGTTTGATGGATACAAGAACGGTCAGAATGTTCTCTATTGTCCTGTATATCTTTGCACTGTGGCTCAAAAATGATATAATAGTGCTCTCTTATCAGATCGACGATGTTACTCTAAAATTTATCGACGACACGATGCCTATATTATTCCCGCCGTCGAGAATAACTTTACATTTGTGCATCAACCATGGTAAGCTTTCCGAATTCATATACTCACATATTTACATATTTAGACTTACAAAAATTTTAAATAAAACACATAAAACAGCACAAAAATAATTGAATAAATAATAATAAATTAGGAAACAAAGATTGCGTTAAAATCACAAATTATAACGTTGTCAGATGCAAATTATAAATATCTGTTATAATAAATCACATTATATAAAAATAAAATCTTATTACACAGCTATAAAATCACCAAAATGTTTTTAATTTTTAAGTAAGAAAAAATATATAAAAAACATTCAAAAATTTTGTTCATTTCAATTCTTGGTCTCTTCTCAGATGACACGATTAAATTATCGAAGAAACTGTCGAGTCTTTACTTAATGCATGACATCTATAATAATGTCATCCCAGATTTCAACAAGAAAATTTACGATGACTTGAAGCATCAAAATTTGTACGTCCTGGACCTGGACTGTAATGACGCCACTAAAATCTTACAACAGGTACTATGTATTTTCTGTAAGTTTATTGTGAATATGATGTAAGCGCAAACGTATATATTGCCATCGACTATCAAATTAAAAAAAAATAAAACTATGATTTACACACACATCACTCACTTAATTAATATTAATTCTGCCCATAAAATAACATTTATTCACTGTTAATCAATATAACCGTTTTATGTTCAATTATAGTAAAAATGAAGTCATAACCATTAAGGGCCGGCTTTTTAATAATAATTTAAACTTAGATCGAAGTGTTTAAAATAAACTCCCAGAGCCGTAAAAAATAATTTCTCTCTCTCCTATTTTTCTATAAACAAATAAATTATAATCGTTATCCGATATTATACAATAGGTAAATGTGAATAAAATGTTCGTCGCCCCGATGAGGTGGCTGCTCCTTCAGGATCGAAGAACACTAATCGATAATGATAATAATATCACATTAATTTCTATGTATGATAATTCGATTTCGGAGATTTTCGAGGATTTAGCCGTCTATCCTGACAGCGATGTTGTCCTCGCAAAAAGATTCGACGGTGATTTTCTACAACTAACATCCGTATATCGACCAAGTCTGCAGCGAGGAGTTATATGGAAAGATCGTGGAAATTGGACGGTCAAAAATGGTCTACGAATGAAAACTTTTGACGTAGCGTCAAGACGCAGAAGAAATCTTCAAAAAACGACACTTACATCTGCTATCGTGGTATTTTAAATATGTATTCTTAATCGAGAAGGTACTCTTATATATCTTAGTATCCAGCATGATCAAAAATCATAATTGCAAGCTAACATAAAGTACGACTAAGTTTTTAAGAAGAAACAATGATAATAATACACAGTAGTAAAATAATATTAAAAATAAAAGTAATACAAAGAGAAAATAAACATCCAATTAAAATACGTTGAGACATAATTATTCCGAATTTTTAATATTTTTATATATTTTAAAGAAAAATACATTATTCTATTTTCCAGGTATATAATCCTGATACTTTAAATCATTTGACTGATTATCAAAATCCACATATTGATCCGGTTACAAAAGTTACTTATATGTGGGTAACCTATTTAATAAATCGAATGAATGCAACGTAAGTCATGCTTTCTAATGTTATTTGTAATGTTAAAATATTTATGAAAGAGATTATGGTGACAATTCTCTGTTAATATTACCTAGCAAATTTGTCAATTGTAAAATTTATATAATTTTCAAAATATATTTAGATTTAAATGTGACAAAATCAATTAACAGTTATAGTATTAATGGAACTATTACAATATATCAAAAATAGTTAAAAATAATTTTCAATCAAATTATGATGTGTGCATGATTAAATATACAAATGCAGCTAATCGTTGAATTTAGAAAATTAATAAATTGAAACTTCGTATTTTAACATTCATTCGTGATAGATTTATAAAATAACCGATATCATTTAACACCATTAATACTTTCATATTCATAATTTTATGATTTATACGTAGGATAAATTTCACAATTGTGGACGATTGCGGAAAAAGATTGGAAAATGGAAGTTTTCTTGGAATGACTGGGATGTTGGATCGACACGAAATCGACATCGGCGGTACTGCTATGTACATGGTAACAGATCGCATCGATCAAGTACAATATGTCCCATTAAATGTGCACATGAGGTAAAATCGTATTCTTGCTAATTGAATGCCATTAGCTAACTCTTTGATTACTAAAATGTTATATCCCATTTAAATGCTGCTGTATTTCAAACTGACAAAATCTAACAATGTAGTTACTTTCTAAAAATATGCATTGTTAATATTATTATTAATTATATAATAATAAATTTTTATATTATCTGTTCCATTATATCAGTTCTATTTGATATCATATTCAATCTATTCTGTATATCTATCAGTTACAATTACTGATATAATGTATGAAATTTGTAGAACGGTATTTGTATTTCGACAACCATTATTATCGACCATGAAAAATATCTTCATATTACCCTTTGCAAAAAATGTTTGGATAGCAATTGCCATATTTCTTCTTGTCGTTTTCTGTTCATTATATTTATCTATGAAATGGGAATATTATCGAAATACAATGAAAAAATCGTCAGTTACCTGGAAAGATACCCATATCGGCAATCCGACACTAGGCGAAGATTTTCTCATTCTTTTAGGCGCATGTGCTCAACAAGGTATACAATTTAATTGAACAATAAATTTTGCCATTCTTAATTTATAAGTTAAATATTCTTAATTTTAAGAGTCAACTTATAAACTGTGTTCATCTTTATAGGTTATTCGTACGAACCATATAGATTTGCAGCCAGAACGATTACTCTTATGTTATTGATAGCTTCATTGAGTCTTTACGCGGCTTACACAGCAAATATCGTAGCTCTTTTGCAGTCTCCTTCGGATTCAATCAACACCCTCTCCGATCTCTTCTATAGTCCTCTAACTCTCAGCGTGCATGACCTTCCATTCTATCATTATATGCTCCAGGTTGATAAATTGCGACAATAAATTGTTCAAAACAATAATTTAAATAACAGGAAATGTCAATGACTAAAAAATAATTTTCATATGTAGGATTATGTAGGAAGTTCAGATCTTCTTAGAAAAGCTATTCTGGAAGAGAAAATCGAACCGAAAGGACACAAGCCTAATTACGTAACTGTGGAGGAAGGTGTAAATCGCATGAAAAATGAATCATTTGCATTTCATGCTTCCAACACTCGAATATATTACTACATGCAACAGACGTATCAGGAATCAGAGAAATGCGGTTTAACGGAAATTGATTATATGGGTGTGATACCTTCACATCTGGTATTGCCAAAACAATCGCCATATTTAGAGATAATAAAAAATGGGTAAGATTATATTTATATGAATTAGTTAATATTTTTTCGTAATAATATTATAACTAAGAAATTATGCAACTTAAAATCTAACATCAATTCATCATGTCATAGTAAGTATACATATATGCATTAGCTGAGTCGAAAAGTATAAAGCATCCAATTTTAATTAGAATAACAGTAAATTAATAAATTGTTGTGAAATAAAAGAATATCTTAAAAAAAATCGTTAACGTTTAATTTAAGAAATTTAATATTAACATCTATTTTATTTCCTAACTCTTTTGTGTAATTGTTATTAAACAATTTGTTAAACAATTAAGAATAATTATTTTGTACTTTTGGTCAAGACTGTATGTAGTATATTTCTAAATGTTAATTTTGAATAAAAAAGTAATCCATTGCTGTAATTGATCGAAAATCTATCGTCATAAAAATCATCGGTTTTTTTTCAAACGGTATGTTTTCAAAATCGCGTAAAAACAACCACACAATAATTAATAAGTAATAGTTAACTGTTTAATTTATTAACTGTAATTTCACAAATTGTGTAAAATAGATTAAGTTCTATACTGTTAAATTATGCTTCAATAATTAAAAACTCATATTTCGGAAATTATTTATAAAATATTTATAAAAATAATGTTTATCTCTGTATGCATTATCTTTTCTGAAAAAAATTATATCTCTAAACAATTTTATTTTTATGTGTAACAATTGACTTTTTAATGTTAAGTTTTAAATCGTACGTTTTCAATGATAAATTCATTTATACTTTAAATTTGACGATTACAATGCACACGCACACCCTTTCATAAATTGAAAGTCGAATAAATTAAAGTAAACCAAAATAATTAGCAATATACATGTTGTATGCTTAAATTATAATATTCTTTTCAGTTGTTTGAAGTTACGAGAATATGGGCTAAAATACCGTGATGAATATCGCTTATTTACAAAAAAGCCAAAATGCACGAATCCAGCTAATTTTATCAGTGTTGGTTTCACGGAATGCCGGTTTGTGATTCTTGTAATGAGTTATGGATTCTTGATTACTTTAATTGTATTTGTATTGGAGTTGGTATGGAACAAAATGTAAGATTTAATCTCATTTAAAATCTCACCCACGCACGTCCAGGTTAATACTAATATTATATTTCCTTCTGCAGACAAAACAAATTTACAATAGAAGAGACGGTTCCATTTGTGAAAGAAAATGAAGATCTCGAAATTACCGAATATATTGACTAGATTATTTCAAGGATACACATTAATCCTAAATGTTACACAAACAGATGCATATTAATATTTTCTACATTTCTGTCGTAAACAAAACTCTTTTCTGCATTATTTCTAGCGTATTCTCTTCACAATTTTAGAGCGCATAGAAGCACGCGCGATTAAGAGTTGAAAAAATGATTAATGTAGCGCACATAAATATGGTGTGTGATAATTAATGCAATTTTATTAGTTTAAAATAAGCTGGCACATTTTTTAAAATAAACTATATAATTTTTCTCGCAGAAAAATATATATAGTTCTCCTTGAAATATATAAAATTTCTGTTCTGTCAATACTACGTTTTGCAAAATATATAATAAAACACTTAAAAATTAGGGATAATACTAAATAAAGATTATAATGCATATTATTATGTGTATTCCCTTGTAACGAATAAAAAAATCCACTTTATTTATTATTATTATATTCATATAATTTAGTTGAATTATGATAATAAAAACTTTATCATTATGATATAAAATAGAAAATACTAATAAAAAAATAATTAATTGAGATTATAATCTCTGCGGCAATGTGTTTAACATTATTATTTGAAATTTTCGAACGATTTAAAATAATACATTCAATTTTTTATATTTTTATTTTAACCAATTAAACATAGAACACAAATCTTTAAATGTTCATGAATCTATCGAATAGAAATGTGAAATAATATTTATAATTAGATGATGAGAATTTGTAGGATTAAATTAAATAAAAAGAAAAAAGAGTTCAATATGCGTATAAGCCAAAAAGTTAAAAAAATAATAAATGCTACTTGCATTTTGTATCCCATTATATTATTATAACATCTATATATATATATATATATATATATATATATATATATATAAATTGTCTAGAAATAGAATACTTTATTATTACTTTTCATTATCGTTATTTATATCATGTATTTATGTTTTATGTATTAATATGTATTTAAATGTACCAACTTTCCCGAATATTTACAACTGAGAAAATTTGCTTAAATTTGAAATCCTACACAAAATAATTTTTACTGTTTCTGTAAACGAAAAATGTGCTGTCTTTGTATACGAAAAAATTTTGACAGGATACATAATAAAATTGTGTAACGTTTAAGTATTTGTGTGGAGAGCGCAAGCAGCGTCTGTACCCAGCAAACACCAAGTAACAATTATATAACTGTTAGTTATAATTTTTCACTCAACAATATAAATTCAATATAACCACCGTTTTTTAATTGCATTCAATGCTAATTCCTTGGGGAAATTAGTAAATAATGCCGTGACATCGAGTAAAATTAATAATTCATCGTTGTTGGTCGATTTATTTATGACATTATTAGCAAACGACCAACCATCTTTTATGTGCAAAGAAAGTTTTTGAATAGAAGTGTTCAAAATACCGTGGATGTAACTCGCAACATTGTATCACGGACTACCAAGTGACGATACAATTAAACGTAAAGGAACGTCAGTTTTATGAATTTTTGGTAGTTCGTAACAGCGCGGTAAGATCCCATTTGTAATGTTTAAATATGTATTAGTACTCTTTCTCATCAATTAGATTATTATCGCGCCATCATTTCACCAACGTATGTATTTTATTTGTTAATGGCCTATTTAGATCCTTTTTTAGTTTCTTATACGTAGATTGATCGTTCAATAACAACTCGGTTTTTTAATATAATCAGTCCTATCCATAATTACAGTGGTCTGACCTTTGTCCACACTCAGATTATACCACATCAACGTAATATTCATCACTAAAATTAAATATTTCATATACAGCAATAATGTCCTTGAATGATTATTGCGCATCAATTGCTTCTCTTCGTTTACATTTTCCAAATACTCCGAAAATTGATAATTTTGATTACACATCAAATTACGTGAAAAGAGTATATATGCGAAAAGATGATGGTGTACGCATAGTCGATATTTTCTGTTCTGAATATCACAAAGAGATATCTGATCAGTTGTTCGACGTATACAGAAACGGTCAGAATGTTCAAACTCCTGTGTATCTTTGCATTGTTACTTGGTAATGACATGATCGCATTCTCTCATCATATCGACGATGTTATTCTAAAATTTATCGTCGATACAATGCCGATATTATTCCCGCCATCGAGGATATCGCTACACTCGTGCATCACCCATGGTAAGAATTTTTAAATTCATCATTTATTCACATTTATGCATTGAATAAAGGAAATTAAACAAAAATAGTATATAAAATTACACAAATAATAACTGAATAAGAAATTATAAATTATAAGTAAAATTAATGTTTAAAGTCTATTTTAAACAAGAATAAAAAATATAGGGTGTATTATTTTAAATAATGCTATTTCTCAAGAAATCAAAGCTTACAATGAATAATGTTGAACACAAGTTGTAATTTGAAGGGAGACATCTTGTCGTAAAAATAGTCTTATTTCAGGCATTTCATCATGATATATCTTGACAAAAAATATGAAATATCTCGTAATATACACATTTTTTTATTATCTTACCTTATTAATATTATTAAGAAAATTATAGCAGTTCCATTTAAAAAAGTAATGATATTAAACTTTCCAAAGTGCCTCCACCTAAAATAAAACTATTTTTACGACAAGGCGTCCCCTCGAAATTCTATAATTTTTGTAAAACACTTTTCAAAGAAAGAAATAGCTTCTCGCAAAATTAAAAAGTATTATTTAAATTAGAAAACCTTGTTAATAAAAATCTTCCTATAAATTTTTTTCAAATTTGCTCTCTTTTCATTGCTAGATGACACGATTAAATTATCAAGAAAACTATCGAGTCATTATTTGATGCATAGCATCCACAATAATGTCATCACAGAATTTGACACGAGAATTTACGATGATTTGGAACATCGAAATCTCTATGTGTTGGACATGGACTGCAACTACAGTCTTGACTTTTTACGAAAGGTGCCAAGTATTTTTTATACGTCTGTTATGAATACGACGCGAGCGCAATATATATTTACATTAGCTATACAAGAAACAAATGAAAACGCGATACCTATCACCTATTATTAATAAATATGAATAATTTTGCCCGATAACACTGATTCATTAATGACAATAGACTCCTATTATGTTCGAGTATTATTAAAAATAAAGTCATCGACATTTTAGTTCTAAAGACATCTGTTTCAGCTGTGAAGAATTCTCTCGTCTAGTTTCTCGATAGCAAAATTAATTTTATGATCGTATTATCTGATATTATACGACAGGTGGATTTGAATAGAATGTTCGTCGCACCGATGAGGTGGCTGCTCCTGCAGGATCAAAGAACACTAAACGATAACGATGATAATGCCACACACAATTTGACTTTTACATATGATAATTCGATTACGGAGATTTTCGAAGATTTAGCCGTCTATCCTGATAGCGACGTTGTCTTCGCAAAAAGATTAAACGGTGATTTTGTACAACTAACATCTGTATATCGGCCCAGTCCACAGCGAGGAGTCATATGGGAAGATCGCGGAAATTGGACAGTCGAGAATGGTCTACGGATGAAAACTTTCGACGTGGCTTCTGCACGCAGAAGAAATCTTCAACAAACGACTCTTAAAACTACTGTTGTGGTACTTGAAATAAGTATTCATCGTTAAAAAAATGCATTTATATGAACAAATCATAATAAAAAATATTCCGTTTTAAACTAACATAGCAAAATATGTATAACACCTTAGATCTTGATATTATTATAAAATTTATATAGTTAAAAAAAGAAAAAGTAAATATAAAGCATCAATAATCAACAGAACGCTGAGATATATATACAGTATAATCTATAATCCATTATGTTCACTTCTTAATTTCTTGTAAGTCATATAATAAACATTTTAGTATTTCTCAATTCCAGTTAACAAACCCCAAAAGTGTCAATTATTTGGATAATTATGAAGACCCACAGAAAGATCCAGCTGCAAGGGCTAATTTGAACTGGGTACGCCATATAGTAAATCGAATGAATGCAACGTAAGTCATACTTCCAGACATCATATTTGTATCAATAATATTAAAATATTTATGTGTGTGAAATAAATTCAAATGACAATTACGAATTTCTTGGAAATCTGTTGATTATAAATATATAATGCGACAAATAAATCTACAATTCAATATTTATTATAACAAAATCATAAGTCAATAATCAATGCAATTATAATAGCAATAAAACAATTACGGAATGCAATACTAAAAATGGTTATAAATCATTTCTGATCAAACTAATGCGTGCACGATTAAGTTTCAATGTTATCAAATGTACCAGAAAACAAAAGCAATTTTTGTTTTACATTGAACTAAAAGATACATGCTTTAATCTGCAATTAACAAAAAAAATTAATAGCACTAATTTATACAACAAATTTCAAAAATTAATGATCAAAGCTTTGCATTTCATTATTGATTCGTGATAGATTTGGAAAATAACTAATAAGAGAGTCAATTACGTACCTAAAAGTTCATATTTCTACATTCATAATGTTACGTTGTTACAGGTTAAATGTCACAGTTGAGATTTCAACACATTGGGGAAAAGTGTTCAAAAATGGGACTAGTAATGGACTGGTCGGGATGCTAATTCGACGCGAGATTGATATCGGTGGTATTCATATGCCTTTCCTGTACGATCGACTCGATAAAGTAAAATATATCAACTTACACACGAACCTTGGGTAAAATCGCGATTAGCTAATTCTTTCTCTACAATTATACTACAGATACCGTTGTAAAATAGATTAAGACCGTATGTTAATCTCAAGTGTCATATCAGGTAGTATCAAGAAATTCAATTTTTTTATATTAATAATGTTTTTCTATCAATTTAATGTAGAATTTTCAATTTTGTGAAATTATAGTTGTTTCTCACACACGTGATAATACATTTAATATATATAAATACTCTTCACACATTAAAAGTAGATAAAATTTTCTATTGAATAGTTATTTATGTATATACATTTTTGAGACAATAGTACTATAATTATAACAGTATAGTTGCTATAAAAAATAAAAAATCTAGAAATAAAAAAATCTATTCTATGTCATCTAATAGAATAATAAAAATAATTTAATAAAATTTTTTATATAGTTTTGCTATAATTCTTATAATATTACATAACCAAAAATAAGAAAACTAATAAAATATATAATATATCTTAAAGTTTACGTTGTACAACAAATATTAAACAAAATTAAAAATATTAGCTCAAAATTTGACTAATAAATAACACACATTGTGAATTTTCCGTGAATTAAAAATGATATATGAAACTATCCAACTGCAAACGATAGTAGCACAATAGTGAATACACTAATATCCAAACATACTAATGAATAAATACTTATCCATATTTTGCTTAATATTTGCTTCAGAAAAATACTTAATTTTATTCATTTTCATTGATTTATATTTATTAATTTATTTTTCTATTTATTTCTCTATATTGAACAAATTAAAAAAGAACTATAATTCAAGTCAAAAATAAAAAAATTGTCCTAATTTTAAAATTATTATTGTTTACATCTGATTAACATACGGCTCTAAAAACTAATTTGTACTTCGACTATTCGTCAATAGAATTAATAATTAATAATTTTTTATTCTATCAATCCTATCATATTAATTGTTGATTATTTCATAATCATTTCTAATTCTTATCAATCGCTGATACTGATTAAACACATAAAATTTTGTGTAGCATGAGATTTGTATTTCGACAACCGTTATTATCCAGTGTGAAAAACATCTTCATCTTACCCTTTGAAAGAAATGTTTGGATAGCAATCGCAGTATTCCTTCTTGTCGTTTTTTGCTTCTTATACATATCTATGAAATGGGAATATTATCGGAATACAATGAAAAAATCGGCAGCTACCTGGAAAGATACTCATATCGGCAATCCGACACTAGGCGAAGATTTTCTCATTCTTTTAGGCGCATGTGCTCAACAAGGTATACAATCTAATCTAACGATAAATTTTGCAATTCTTAATTTGTATAAGTTAACATATTCGCAATTTTAAGAGTCAACTTATAAAATGTTTTTATCTTCATAGGTTATTCGTACGAACCATATAGATTTTCAACTCGAATCATCACTCTTATGTTATTGGTAGCCTCATTAAGTCTTTACACGGCTTACACAGCTAATATCGTAGCTCTTTTGCAATCTCCTGCAAATTCAATCAAAACTGTTTCCGATCTCTTGCATAGTCATTTAATTCTCGGTGCGCAAGATTACATATTCGTTCATTATCTGTTCGAGGTCAATATATTGCCATAATTAATAATTGAAAAAAATTTAAATGAATAGAAATGTCGTCAGATTAATTATTTCTATGCAGAGTTATCAAGATCCCGTTAGGAAAGCGATTCTTGAAAAGAAAATTGAGCCCAAAGGACACAAGGCCAATTGGATGGATGTAGTAGATGCAACACCTCGCATAAGAAATGAATCATTCGCATTTCACGGGGTACAAACTCGAATATATCGAATAATAGAAGAAACATTTCAAGAATATGAAAAATGCGGAATAACGGAAATCGATTACGTAAACGAAGTAGCATATCTCGCAGTACCGAAGCAATCTCCATATTTAGAGATAATAAAGAATGGGTAAGAGACTATATATATATCTTATGGGTTACTTCGCGTTATTAAAATAAAAAAAATTAAATAGTAACAATTTATATTAATCATAATTTACGTAATATGAAATTTAACGTTAAATAAATACCTACATATTAAAATATAAATACATATATACTCAAATATAGTATTACTTGTATATTCGAATTAGGAAATATTGATTAAAAATCATGTAAATATTTTGAAATTTATATCTTTCATCACAAATAAAATCACTGCAATCTATCATAAATTGATCCATAAAAAAGGCTCCGTTTTTACATTTAAACATTACTTCATTGAACATACATGCAAATGCAAACAACAAGACTTATACAATTTCTAAAAAGACTTTTTCTTTATACAATTTGTTATATACAAATAATATGTTTAAAAAAAAAACATTTTTTTCAGAGCTATGAAACTACGAGAATATGGGCTAAAATTCCGTGATGAATATCGCTTATTTACAAGAAAGCCAAAATGCACAAATCCAGCTAATTTTATCAGTGTTGGTTTCACGGAATGCCGGTTTGTGATTCTTGTAATGAGTTATGGATTCTTGATTACTTTAATTGTATTTGCATTGGAATTGGTATGGCACAAAATGTAAGATTTAATCTCATTTAAAATCTCACCCACGCACGTCCAGGTTAATGCTAATATTATATTTCCTTCTGCAGACGAAATAAATTTACACAAAAAGAGACGGTTCTAATTGTAAAAAAAAATGAAGATCTCGAAATTACCGAATATATTGACTAAGTAATTTCAAGATTACACATTAATCCTAAATGTTAAACAAACAGATGTATATTAATAATTCCTATATTTCTGTAGTAAACAACTCTTTTCTTCATTATTTCTAGTGTATTCTCTTTACAATTTTAGAGCGCGTATGCGCGCACGCGATTAAAGGTTGAAAAAATGATTGATGTAGCACATAAATATGGTGTATGATAATTAATGCAATTTTATTTGTTTAAAAAAAGCTGACACATTTTTTTTGGTAAATTATATAAATGTCCTTGCAAAAAAATAAACTGGTTCTCGTTGAAACATACAGAATTTATGTTCTGTCAATACTACGCCTTATGAAATACGTCTTACAACAATCAAATACTTTTAAATTAAGAATACTAAATAAAGATTACAATTCATATTATTATGTGTATTCTTTTGTAACTAAGGGAAGTAAAAAATCCATTTTATTTATTATTATTATATTCACACAATTTAGTTGAATCATGATAATAAAAATTAATTCATCATTATGAAATAAAAAAAGACAATCCTAATACAAAAATATGTTATATTAAAATTATAATCTCTACGGCAATGTGTTTAACATTATTATTTGTAATTTTCGCACATTCTAAAATAATACATAATACATTCTAAAATAATACATAAATTTACATATTTATTTCATGTAGGCAGTTAATCACAGAACATAAATATATAAATGTTCATGAATCTATCGAAAAGCAATGTGAAATAAAATTTATAATTAGTTGATAAGAATTTGAAGGATTAAATAAAGTTCAATATGCGTACAGGACAAAAAGACACAAAAATAATAATAAATGTTATTTGTATCACTTTATAGAGTTATAACATCTGTAAAAATATCTGAAAATAAAATACTTTATTATCACTTTTTACTATCGTTATTCATCATGTATTCATGTAGTCATGTATTCAATGTATTATGTATTTAGATGTAGACTAACTTTCATCAATATTTACAACTGCGAAAATTTGCTTAAATTTCAAATCCTACACAAAAATATTAGTACTGTTTTGTTGATCATAACATTTGACTCTTCAAATAAAGTATATAGTTTCTTCCTTACACATTTTTCTGTGTCACCGAAAATGATACAGATATTTCAGATAATCAAATAGAAGTAATATGATCTATTCTGTATATGCAAAATGCGTCTTTCATATAGATGACAGAATTAAATTATCGTAAATCTTATCGAAAAATTGATGCATTAAAAAATAAGATTACACCAATGATATTTTACAAATAACTACAAATAAAATTTGACAAATAATAAGAGTTTTTATGCACAACGTTGCAAATATATATACCTCTATAAATTAAAAAGAAAAATTTACAATAAATTTTATTTAAGAAATTTGTATAAAATATATATGACTAAAAACTAAATAATATAGCAAATTTGTGAAAACCATGAAGCTAATAAAACCTTCAAATTGCAAGTTTTGCGATATCCAATAAATAATACATATGCAAATTATACCACATCAACGTAATATTCATCACTAAGATTAAATATTTCATATGCAGTAATAATGTCCTTGAATGATTATTGCGCATCAATTGCTTCTCTTCGTTTACATTTTCCAAATACTTCGAAAATTGATAATTTTGATTACACATCTAATTACGTGAAAAGAGTATATATGCGATAGATGATGGTGTACGGATAGTCGATATTTTCTGTTCTGAATATCACAAAGAGATATCTGATCAGTTGTTCGACGTATACAGAAACGGTCAGAATGTTCAAACTCCTGTGTATCTTTGCATTGTTACTTGGTAATGACGTGATCGCATTCTCTCATCATATCGACGATGTTATTCTAAAATTTATCGTCGATACAATGCCGATATTATTCCCGCCATCGAGGATATCGCTACACTCGTATATAAATTTTGCTTCAGAAAAATGCTTTATTTTATTCATTTTCATTTATTTATATTTATTTATTTATTTTGTCTATTTATTTTTTTATATTGAACAAATTAAAGAATTCAAGTAAGAAATAAAAAAAATTTCTTCAATTTTTAAATTATTATTGTTTAGATCTGATTAGCATACGGCTCTAAAATCTAATGTGTACTTCGACTATTCGTCAATAGTATTAACAATAATAATTTTTTGTGCAACCGGCGCACAAAAAGTCGCTCTTTAAGCACATGATGGGATTTTAAAAAAAGCTCCCTTTTCACGCACCGGTCACACAAAATATCGTAGCCAACATGTGCGGGTCATAAATCGGCCGATCGTGCGGATTGTCACATTCGGCTTCGCCTCGTGCGCCAAACTTCCGTACTCTCGGTTGATTTACGATCCCCCGCACTTGTTAGCTACGAATATACTATTATTCTGTCAATTCTATCATATTAATTGTTGATTATTTAATAATTATTTCTAATTCTTATGAATCGATTATATTAATATGACACATAAAATTTTGTATAGCGCGAAATTTATATTTCGACAACCGTTATTATCCAGCGTGAAAAATATCTTCATCTTACCCTTTGAAAGAAATGTTTGGATAGCAATCGCAGTATTCCTTCTTGTCGTTTTTTGCTTATTATATTTATCTATGAAATGGGAATATTATCGGAATACAATGAAAAAATCGTCAACTACCTGGAAAGATACTCATATCGGCAATCCGACACTAGGCGAAGATTTTCTCGTTCTTTTAGGCGCATGTACTCAACAAGGTATACAATTTAATCTAACGATAAATTTTGCAATTTTTAATTTGCAAGTTAAGATATTCGCAATTTTAAGAGTCAACTTATAAAATGTTTTTATCTATAGGTTATTCGTACGAACCATATAGATTTTCAACTCGAATCATCACTCTTACGTTATTGGTAGCCTCATTGGGTCTTTACACGGCTTACACAGCAAATATCGTAGCTCTTTTGCAATCTCCTGGAAATTCAATCAAAACTGTTTCCGATCTCTTGCATAGTCATTTAATTCTCGGTGCGCAAAATTACACAGCCGTTCATAATCTGTTCAAGATTAATATACTCCCAGATTTAATTGTTCAAAACAAAAATTTAAATAACTAGAAATATCGCAAGATTAATTATTTCTATGTAGAATTATCAAAATCCCGTTAGGAAAGCGATTTTTGAAGAGAAAATTGAGCCGAAAAGACACAAGGCCAATTGGATGGATGTAGTAGATGCAACACCTCGCATAAAAAATGAATCATTCGCATTTTACGGGTCAGAATCTCGGATATATCAAATAATAGAAAAAACATTTCATGAATATGAAAAATGCGGGATAACAGAAATCGATTACTCGAACGAGGTATTACTACATCTCGCACTACCAAAACAATCGTCATATTTAGAGATAATAAAGAATGGGTAAGAGACTGTATCTTATGGGTTACTTCATGTTATTGAAATAAAAATAATTAAATAGTATCAATTTATATTAATAATAATTTACGTAATTTAAAATTTAACGTTAAATAATTACCTACATATTAAAATATAAACATATGTATACTCAAATATAGTATTACTTGTATATTCGAATTAGGAAATATTGATTAAAATTTATATATTGTATTTATGTAAATTAAATTGATCGATAAAGAAGGCTCCGTTTTTACATTTAATCATTACTTCATTAAACATACATGCAGATGCAAATAACAAAAATTTCAAAACTACTTATATAGAAAAAAAGCAAAGCAGATTACATATGATATTATTTTCAATTAAGTTTACATTGTGAAAGAATTATAAATGATGTTCTACAAAAATGTTTATAGGAACAGTATTATTTTTTCTTTGTACATGCGTTATTTAAAAAAAATAAATAAATACAATCTCAGAAACAAGAATTTGTAATGTTTCAATATGAAACATTTATGATTTTTTTCAGTGTTAAGTTTTCGAAGATTAATTTATTAAAAAATTAAAACTTTCAAGATTAGGTAACACCCATAAATCTGAAAATACTAATACAATTTACTATATACAAATAGTATGTTTAATAGAACATTTTTTTCAGAGCCATGATACTACAAGAATATGGGCTAAAATTCCGCGATGAATATCGTTTGATTACGAGAAAGCCACAATGTTCGAATGAAGCTAACTTTCTTAGTGTTGGCTTCACGGAATGCCGATTTTTAATTATTATAATGGTTTACGGATTTCTGATTACATTAATTGTATTTGCATTGGAGTTGGTATGGCACAAAATGTAAGATTTAATCTCATTTAAAATCTCACCCACGCACGTCCAGGTTAATGCTAATATTATATTTCCTCCTGCAGACAAAACAAATTTACAATAGAAGAGACGGTTCCATTTGTGAAAGAAAATGAAGATCTCGAAATTACCGAATATATTGACTAGATTATTTCAAGAATACACATTAATCCTAAATGTTACACAAACAGATGCATATTAATATTTTCTACATTTCTGTCGTAAACAAAACTCTTTTCTGCATTATTTCTAGCGTATTCTCTTCACAATTTTAGAGCGCATAGAAGCACGAGCGATAAAAAGTTGAAAAAATGATTAATGTAGCGCACATAAATATGGTGTGTGATAATTAATGCAATTTTATTTGTTTAAAATAAGCTAACACATTTTTTAAAATAAACTATATAATTTTTCTCGCAGAAAAATATATATAGTTCTCCTTGAAATATATAAAATTTCTGTTCTGTCAATACTACGTTTTGCAAAATATATAATAAAACACTTAAAAAGTAGGGATATTAAATAAAGATTATAATGCATATTATTATGTGTATTCCCCTGTAACGAATGAGCGAAAAAAAATCCACTTTATTTATTATTATTTTATTCGTATGATTTAGTTGAATTATGATAATAAAAACTTTATCATTATGATATAAAATAGAAAATACTAATAAAAAAATATATTAATTGAGGTTATAATCTCTGCGGCAATGTGTTTAACATTATTATTTGAAATTTTCGAACGATCTAAAATAATACATTCAATTTTTTATATTTTTATTTTAACCAATTAAACATAGAACACAAATCTTTAAATGTTCATGAATCTATCGAATAGAAATGTGAAATAATATTTATAATTAGATGATGAGAATTTGTAGGATTAAATTAAATAAAAAGAAAAAAGAGTTCAATATGCGTATAAGCCAAAAAGTTAAAAAAATAATAAATGCTACTTGCATTTTGTATGCCATTATATTATTATAACATCTATATATATATATATATATATATATATATATATATATAAATTGTCTAGAAATAGAATACTTTATTATTACTTTTCATTATCGTTATTTATATCATGTATTTATGTTTTATGTATTAATATGTATTTAAATGTACCAACTTTCCCGAATATTTACAACTGAGAAAATTTGCTTAAATTTGAAATCCTACACAAAATAATTTTTACTATTTCTGTAAACGAAAAATGTGCTGTCTTTGTATACGAAAAAATTTTGACAGGATACATAATAAAATTGTGTAACGTTTAAGTATTTGTGTGGAGAGCGCAAGCAGCGTCTGTACCCAGCAAACACCAAGTAACAATTATATAACTGTTAGTTATAATTTTTCACTCAACAATATAAATTCAATATAACCACCGTTTTTTAATTGCATTCAATGCTAATTCCTTGGGGAAATTAGTAAATAATGCCGTGACATCGAGTAAAATTAATAATTCATCATTGTTGGTCGATTTATTTATGACATTATTAGCAAACGACCAACCATCTTTTATGTGCAAAGAAAGTTTTTGAATAGAAGTGTTCAAAATAACGTGGATGTAACTCGCAACATTGTATCACGGACTACCAAGTGACGATACAATTTAACGTAAAGGAACGTCAGTTTTATGAAATTTTGGTAGTTCGTAACAGCGCGGTAAGATCCCATTTGTAATGTTTAAATATGTATTAGTACTCTTTCTCATCAATTAGATTATTATCGCGCCATCATTTCACCAACGTATATATTTTATTTGTTAATGGCCTATTTGGATCCTTTTTTAATTTCTTATACGTAGATTGATCGTTCAATAACAACTCGGTTTTTTAATATAATCAGTCCTATCCATAATTACAGTGGTCTGACCTTTGTCCACACTCAGATTATACCACATCAACGTAATATTCATCACTAAAATTAAATATTTCATATACAGCAATAATGTCCTTGAATGATTATTGCGCATCAATTGCTTCTCTTCGTTTACATTTTCCAAATACTCCGAAAATTGATAATTTTGATTACACATCAAATTACGTGAAAAGAGTATATATGCGAAAAGATGATGGTGTACGCATAGTCGATATTTTCTGTTCTGAATATCACAAAGAGATATCTGATCAGTTGTTCGACGTATACAGAAACGGTCAGAATGTTCAAACTCCTGTGTATCTTTGCATTGTTACTTGGTAATGACATGATCGCATTCTCTCATCATATCGACGATGTTATTCTAAAATTTATCGTCGATACAATGCCGATATTATTCCCGCCATCGAGGATATCGCTACACTCGTGCATCACCCATGGTAAGAATTTTTAAATTCATCATTTATTCACATTTATGCATTGAATAAAGGAAATTAAACAAAAATAGTATATAAAATTACACAAATAATAACTGAATAAGAAATTATAAATTATAAGTAAAATTAATGTTTAAAGTCTATTTTAAACAAGAATAAAAAATATAGGGTGTATTATTTTAAATAATGCTATTTCTCAAGAAATCAAAGCTTACAATGAATAATGTTGAACACAAGTTGTAATTTGAAGGGAGACATCTTGTCGTAAAAATAGTCTTATTTCAGGCATTTCATCATGATATATCTTGACAAAAAATATGAAATATCTCGTAATATACACATTTTTTTATTATCTTACCTTATTAATATTATTAAGAAAATTATAGCAGTTCCATTTAAAAAAGTAATGATATTAAACTTTCCAAAATGCCTCCACCTAAAATAAAACTATTTTTACGACAAGGCGTCCCCTCGAAATTCTATAATTTTTGTAAAACACTTTTCAAAGAAAGAAATAGCTTCTCGCAAAATTAAAAAGTATTATTTAAATTAGGAAACCTTGTTAATAAAAATCTTCCTATAAATTTTTTTCAAATCTGCTCTCTTTTCATTGCTAGATGCCACGATTAAATTATCAAGAAAACTATCGAGTCATTATTTGATGCATAGCATCCACAATAATGTCATCACAGAATTTGACACGAGAATTTACGATGATTTGGAACATCGAAATCTCTATGTGTTGGACATGGACTGCAACTACAGTCTTGACTTTTTACGAAAGGTGCCAAGTATTTTTTATACGTCTGTTATGAATACGACGCGAGCGCAATATATATTTACATTAGCTATACAAGAAACAAATGAAAACGCGATACCTATCACCTATTATTAATAAATATTAATAATTTTGCCCGATAACACTGATTCATTAATGACAATACACTCCTATTATGTTCGAGTATTATTAAAAATAAAGTCATCGACATTTTAGTTCTAAAGACATCTGTTTCAGCTGTGAAGAATTCTCTCGTCTAGTTTCTCGATAGCAAAATTAATTTTATGATCGTATTATCTGATATTATACGACAGGTGGATTTGAATAGAATGTTCGTCGCACCGATGAGGTGGCTGCTCCTGCAGGATCAAAGAACACTAAACGATAACGATGATAATGCCACACACAATTTGACTTTTACATATGATAATTCGATTACGGAGATTTTCGAAGATTTAGCCGTCTATCCTGATAGCGACGTTGTCTTCGCAAAAAGATTAAACGGTGATTTTGTACAACTAACATCTGTATATCGGCCCAGTCCACAGCGAGAAGTCATATGGGAAGATCGCGGAAATTGGACAGTCGAGAATGGTCTACGGATGAAAACTTTCGACGTGGCTTCTGCACGCAGAAGAAATCTTCAACAAACGACTCTTAAAACTACTGTTGTGGTACTTGAAATAAGTATTCATCGTTAAAAAAATGCATTTATATGAACAAATCATAATAAAAAATATTCCGTTTTAAACTAACATAGCAAAATATGTATAACACCTTAGATTTTGATATTATTATAAAATTTATATAATTAAAAAAAGAAAGAGTAAATATAAAGCATCAATAATCAACAGAACGCTGGGATATATATACAGTATAATCTATTGTATAATCCATTATGTTCACTTCTTAATTTCTTGTAAGTCATATAATAAACATTTTAGTATTTTTCAATTCCAGTTAACAAACCTCAAAAGTGTCAATTATTTGGATAATTATGAAGACCCACAGAAAGATCCAACTGGAAGGGCTAATTTTAACTGGGTACGCCATATAGTAAATCGGATGAATGCAACGTAAGTCATACTTCCAGACATCATATTTGTATCAATAATATTAAAATATTTATGTGTGTGAAATAGATTCAAATGACAATTATTATCTGCAATTAACAAAAAGAAATTAATAGCACTAATTTATACAACAAATTTCAAAAATTAATGATCAAAGCTTTGCATTTCATCATTGATTCGTGATAGATTTGGTAAATAACTAATAAGAGAGTCAATTACGTACCTAAAAGTTCATATTTCTACATTCATAATGTTACGTTGTTACAGGTTAAATGTCACAGTTGAGAATTCAACACATTGGGGAAATGTGTTCAAAAATGGGACCAGTAATGGACTGGTCGGGATGCTAATTCGACGCGAAATTGATATCAGTGGTATTCATATGCCTTTCCTGCACGATCGACTCGATAAAGTAAAATATATCAACTTACACACGAATCTTGGGTAAAATGGCGATTAGCTAATTCTTTCTCTACAATTATACTACAGATACCGTTGTAAAATAGATTAAGGCCGTATGTTAATCTCAAGTGTCATATCAGGTAGTATCATAAAATTCAATTTTTTTATATTAATAATGTTTTTCTATCAATTTAATTTAGAATTTTCAATTTCGTGAAATTATAGTTGTTTCTCACACACGTGATAATACATTTAATATATATAAATACTCTCCACACATTAAAAGTAGATAAAATTTTCTATTGAATAGTTATTTATGTATATACATTTTTAAGACGATAGTACTATAATTATAACAGTATAGTTGCTATAAAAAATAAAAAATCTAGAAATAAAAAAATCTATTCTATGTCATCTATTAGAATAATAAAAATAGTTCAATGAAATTTTTTATATAGTTTTGCTATAATTCTTAAAATATTACATAACGAAATATAAGAAAACTAATAAAATATATAATATATCTTAAAGTTTACGTTGTACAACAAATATTAAACAAAATTAAAAATATTAGCTCAAAATTTGACTAATAAATAACACACATTGTGAATTTTCCGTGAATTAAAAATGATATATGAAACTATCCAACTGCAAACGATAGTAGCACAATAGTGAATACACTAATATCCAAACATACTAATGAATAAATACTTATCCATATTTTGCTTAATATTTGCTTCAGCAAAATACTTAATTTTATTCATTTTCATTGATTTATATTTATTAATTTATTTTTTTATTTATTTCTCTATACTGAACAAATTAAAAAAGAACTATAATTCAAGTCAAAAATAAAAAAATTGTCCTAATTTTAAAATTATTATTGTTTACATCTGATTAACATACGGCTCTAAAAACTAATGTGTACTTCGACTATTCGTCAATAGAATTAATAATTAATAATTTTTTATTCTATCAATCCTATCATATTAATTGTTGATTATTTCATAATCATTTCTAATTCTTATCAATCGCTGATACTTATATAACACATAAAATTTTGTGTAGCATGAAATTTATATTTCGACAACCGTTATTATCCAGTGTGAAAAATATCTTCATCTTACCCTTTGAAAGAAATGTTTGGATAGCAATCGCAGTATTCCTTCTTGTCGTTTTTTGCTTTTTATACATATCTATGAAATGGGAATATTATCGAAATACAATGAAACAATCGGCAGCTACCTGGAAAGATACTCATATCGGCAATCCGACACTAGGCGAAGATTTTCTCATTCTTTTAGGCGCATGTGCTCAACAAGGTATACAATCTAATCTAACGATAAATTTTGCAATTCTTAATTTGTATAAGTTAACATATTCGCAATTTTGAGAGTCAACTTATAAAATGTTTTTATCTTTATAGGTTATTCGTACGAACCATATAGATTTTCAACTCGAATCATCACTCTTATGTTATTGGTAGCCTCATTAAGTCTTTACACGGCTTACACAGCAAATATCGTAGCTCTTTTGCAATCTCCTGGAAATTCAATCAAAACTGTTTCCGATCTCTTGCATAGTCATTTAATTCTCGGTGCGCAAGATTACATATTCGTTCATTATCTGTTCAAGGTTAATACATTGCCACAATTAATGATTGAAAAAAAATTTAAATGAAAATAGAAATGTCGTCAGATTAATTATTTCTATGTAGAGTTATCAAGATCCCGTTAGGAAAGCGATTCTTGAAGAAAAAATTGAGCCGAAAGGACACAAGGCCAATTGGATGGATGTAGTAGATGCAACACCTCGCATAAGAAATGAATCATTCGCATTTCACGGATCAGAAACTCGAATATATCAAATAATAGAAGAAACATTTCAAGAATATGAAAAATGTGGAATAACGGAAATCGATTACTTAAACGAGGTAGCATATCTCGTAGTACCGAAGCAATCGCCATATTTAGAGATAATAAAGAATGGGTAAGAGACTATATCTTATGGGTTACTTCGCGTTATTATAATAAAAATAATTAAATAGTAACAACTTATATTAATCATAATTTACGTAATATGAAATCTAACGTTAAATAAATACCTACATATTAAAATATAAATACATATATACTCAAATATAGTATTACTTGTATATTCGAATTAGGAAATATTGATTAAAAATCATGTAAATATTTTGAAATTTATATCTTTCATCACAAATAAAATCACTGCAATCTATCATAAATTGATCCATAAAAAAGGCTCCGTTTTTACATTTAAACATTACTTCATTGAACATACATGCAAATGCAAACAACAAGACTTATACAATTTCTAAAAAGACTTTATCTGTATACAATTTGTTATATACAAATAATATGTTTAGAAAAAAAACATTTTTTTCAGAGCTATGAAACTACGAGAATATGGGCTAAAATTCCGTGATGAATATCGCTTATTTACAAGAAAGCCAAAATGCACAAATCCAGCTAATTTTATCAGTGTTGGTTTCACGGAATGCCGGTTTGTGATTCTTGTAATGAGTTATGGATTCTTGATTACTTTAATTGTATTTGCATTGGAATTGGTATGGCACAAAATGTAAGATTTAATCTCATTTAAAATCTCACCCACGCACGTCCAGGTTAATGCTAATATTATATTTCCTTCTGCAGACGAAATAAATTTACACAAAAAGAGACGGTTCTAATTGTAAAAAAAAATGAAGATCTCGAAATTACCGAATATATTGACTAAGTAATTTCAAGATTACACATTAATCCTAAATGTTAAACAAACAGATGTATATTAATAATTCCTATATTTCTGTAGTAAACAACTCTTTTCTTCATTATTTCTAGTGTATTCTCTTTACAATTTTAGAGCGCGTATGCGCGCACGCGATTAAAGGTTGAAAAAATGATTGATGTAGCACATAAATATGGTGTATGATAATTAATGCAATTTTATTTGTTTAAAAAAAGCTGACACATTTTTTTGGATAAATTATATAATTGTCCTTGCAAAAAAAATATACTGGTTCTCGTTGAAATATACAGAATTTATGTTCTGTCAATACTACGTCTTATGAAATACGTCTTACAACAATCAAATACTTTTAAATTAAGGATACTAAATAAAGATTACAATTCATATTATTATGTGTATTCTTTTGTAACTAAGGAGAGTAAAAAATCCATTTTATTTATTATTATTATATTCACACAATTTAGTTGAATCATGATAATAAAAATTAATTCATCATTATGAAATAAAAAAAGACAATCCTAATACAAAAATATGTTATATTAAAATTATAATCTCTACGGCGATGTGTTTAACATTATTATTTGTAATTTTCGCACATTCTAAAATAATACATAATACATTCTAAAATAATAAATAAATTTACATATTTATTTTATATAGGCAGTTAATCACAGAACATAAATATATAAATGTTCATGAATCTATCGAATAGCAATGTGAAATAAAATTTATAATTAGTTGATAAGAATTTGAAGGATTAAATAAGGTTCAATATGCGTACAGGACAAAAAGGCACAAAAATAATAATAAATGTTATTTGTATCACTTTATAGAGTTATAACATCTGTAAAAATATCTGAAAATAAAATACTTTATTATCACTTTTTACTATCGTTATTCATCATGTATTCATGTAGTCATGTATTCAATGTATTATGTATTTAGATGTAGACTAAACTTTCATCAATATTTACAACTGCGAAAATTTGCTTAAATTTCAAATCCTACACAAAAATATTGGTACTGTTTTGTTGATCATAACATTTGACTCTTCAAATAAAGTATATAGTTTCTTCCTTACACATTTTTCTGTGTCACCGAAAATGATACAGATATTTCAGATAATCAAATAGAAGTAATATGATCTATTCTGTATATGCAAAATGCGTCTTTCATATAGATGACAAAATTAAATTATCGTAAATCTTATCGAAAAATTGATGCATTAAAAAATGAGATTACACCAGTGATATTTTACAAATAACTACAAATAAAATTTGACAAATAATAAGAGTTTTTATACACAACGTTGCAAATATATATACCTCTATAAATTAAAAAAAAATAAATTTACAATAAATTTTATTTAAGAAATTTGTATAAAATATGACTAAAAACTAAATAATATAGCAAATTTGTGAAAACCATGAAGCTAATAAAACCTTCAAATTGCACGTTTTGCGATATCCAATAAATAATACATACGCAAATTATACCACATCAACGTAATATTCATCACTAAGATTAAATATTTCATATGCAGTAATAATGTCCTTGAATGATTATTGCGCATCAATTGCTTCTCTTCGTTTACATTTTCCAAATACTCCGAAAATTGATAATTTTGATTACACATCAAATTACGTGAAAAGAGTATATATGCGAAAAGATGATGGTGTACGGATAGTCGATATTTTCTGTTCTGAATGTCACAAAGAGATATCTGATCAGTTGTTCGACGTATACAGAAACGGTCAGAATGTTCAAACTCCTGTGTATCTTTGCATTGTTACTTGGTAATGACATGATCGCATTCTCTCATCATATCGACGATGTTATTCTAAAATTTATCGTCGATACAATGCCGATATTATTCCCTCCATCGAGGATATCGCTACACTCGTGCATCACCCATGGTAAAAATTTTTAAATTCATCATTTATTCACATTTATGCATTGAATAAAGGAAATTAAACAAAAATAGTATATAAAATTACACAAATGATAACTGAATAAAAAATAATAAATTATGAGTAAAATTAATGTTTAAAGTCTATTTTAAACAAGAATACAAAATACAGAGTGTATTATTTTAAATAATGCTATTTCTCAAAAAATCAAAGCTTACAATGAATAATGTTGAACAAAAGTTGTAATTTGAACGGAGACATCTTGTCGTAAAAATAGTCTTATTTCAGGCATTTCATCATGATACATCTTGACAAAAAATATAAAATATCTCGTAATATACTCATTTTTTGATTATCTTATCTTATTAATATTATTCTGCATAAAATTATGAGATAAATCAAATTAGTGTAAAAAATCATAGTTATTTTTTAAAAAAAGAAGTATGCAGTTGCACACTGCAAACTGCAAATTTCTCTTCTCGGTTTTTTTTAAATAACGACATTATATTACAAAATATTTCATATTTTTTGTCAAAAAATCAGGGTGAAGCATAAAATACCTCGTAAATCATTTTTCAACTATTTAACTCTAATAATTTTAAGAATATTTTTATCGACTCTCGAAATAAATACATTATATATATATATATATATATATATATATATATATATTTATCGGCCAATAAAGTCAAACACGATGTTATTGCGAAAAATTAATTAGGAACTTAGAAGTGTATCTTATATAGTTGAGATCTCCAAATTCCCATATTCCTCTTTTAAACCCCCTGTATAGAAATAGGCGTGAATAATTTTGTATGCCAAATATTACGAGGAATAGATTTACGTATAAAAATTATAGCAGTTCCATTTAAAAAAGTAATGATATTGAAATTTCCAAAATGCCTCCACCTAAAATAAAACTATTTTTACGACAAGGCGTCCCCTCGAAATTCTATAATTTTTGTAAAACATTTTTCAAAGAAAGAAATAGCTTCTCGCAAAATTAAAAAGTATTATTTAAATTAGGAAACTTTGTTAATAAAAATCTTCCTATAATGTTTTTTCAAATCTGCTCTCTTTTCATTGTTAGATGACACGATTAAATTATCAAGAAAACTATCGAGTCATTATTTGATGCATAGCATCCATAATAATATCATCACAAAATTTGACACGAGAATTTACGATGACTTGGAACATCGAAATCTCTATGTGTTGGACATGGACTGCAACTACAGTTTTGACTTTTTACGAAAGGTGCCAAGTATTTTTTATACGTCTGTTATGAATACGACGCGAGCGCAATATATATTTACATTAGCTATACAAGAAACAAATAAAAACGCGATACCTATCACCTATTATTAATAAATATGAATAATTTTGCCCGATAACACTGATTCATTAATGACAATAGACTCCTATTATGTTCAAGTATCATTAAAAATTAAGTCATCGACATTTTAGTTCTAGAGACATTTGTTTCAGCTGTGAAGAATTCTCTCGTCTAATTTCTCGATAGCAAAATTAATTTTATGATCGTATTATTATTATTATACGACAGGTGGATTTGAATAGAATGTTCGTCGCACCGATGAGGTGGCTGCTCCTGCAGGATCAAAGAACACTAAACGATAACGATGATAATGCCAATTTGACTTTTACATATGATAATTCGATTTCGGAGATTTTCGAGGATTTAGCCGTCTATCCTGATAGTGACATTGTCTTCGCAAAAAGATTGGACGGTGATTTTGTACAACTAACATCTGTATATCGGCCCAGTCCACAGCGAGGAGTCATATGGGAAGATCGCGGAAATTGGACAGTTCAGAATGGTCTACGGATGAAAACTTTCGACGTGGCTTCTACACGCAGAAGAAATCTTCAACAAACGACTCTTAAAACTACTGTTGTGGTACTTGAAATAAGTATTCATCGTTAAAAAGATGCATTTATATGAACAAATCATAATAAAGATTATGATATTATGACAAAATTTATATAGTTAAAAAAAGAAAAAGTAAATATAAAGCATCAACAATCAACAGAACACTGGAATATATATACAGTATAATCTATAATCCATTATGTTCACTTCTTAATTTCTTGTAGGTCAAATAATACACATTTTTCTATTGTTCAATTGTAGTTAGGAAACCCCAAAAGTGTCAGTTATTTGGATAATTATGAAGACTCACAAAAAGATCCAGCTGGAAGGGCTAATTTTAACTGGGTACGCCATATAGTAAATCGGATAAATGCAACGTAAGTTATCACATTCAAACATCATATTTGCATCAATAATATTAAATAATATTTATGTGTGTGAAATAGATTCCTCAAATGACAATTACGATTTTGTTAATTTCTTGGAAATCTGTTACTTATAATCAAACAATCCAATAATAGGCCAACTTGCGAGCCAAAAGATTAAGATGTTACAAGTTAGAAGTTAGAAATTACATTCTTTATTAAAGACATACAAAATAAAATATAATACAAAATATAATAGAATTAATCCAATTAAATAAACAAGTAAATGTTTCGACAGTACAACTGTCTTCTTCAATACCATAAATTTAAGAAATATTCTTACATTAAAAATTCTTTACATCCTCAAATTTCTTAGAAAGAAAGAATCTAACTGTACGAAATTAACTGCTTACAGATTTTAAATTAATAACACATATACCGCAACATGATACGATCATCGTTATGGTTACGTTACAAATTCCATTAAAATAAAGCGCTGATAGTTTTAATTTTTATTTTTATTATGCACATTTTAGTAAACACATAAAAACAGAAAATCAGATTTCCTTAGATATCACGTTTTTCAAACGTCTAAATATTGTGATCCGGGTATCGTCAATGTAAAAAATGTAATATATAACAAGTTAATAGAATTCCGCAATTGTTTCCTTCATTGTAAAAATTGTATTTGTGATAACAAAACCGTTAATTATAAATATATAATGCTAGAAATAAATCTACAACTCGATATTTATTATAACAAAGTCATTAGACAATAATTGTAATTGTAATAGCAATAAAACTATTACGGAATGCGACATCAAAAATGATTATAAATCGTTTCTGATTAAATTAAAGCGTGCACAATTAAGTTTCAATGTTACTAAATGTACCAGAAAACAAAAGCAGTTTTTGTTTTACAGTGATTTAAAAGATACATGTTTTAATCTGCAATTAACAGAAAAAATTAATAACACTATTCATGATTGATTCGTGATGGATTAGTAAGATAACTAATAAGAGAGTCAATTATGTATTATACATGAAAGTTCATATTTCTACATTCACAATGTTACGTTGTTACAGATTAAATGTCACAGTTGCATACCATTGGGGACAAGTGTTCAAAAATGGGACCAGTAGTGGACTGGTCGGGATGCTAATTCGACGCGAGATTGATATCAGTGGTACTCCTATGTTTATTCTGAACGATCGCGTCGATAAAGTAAAATATATCAACCTACGCACAAACATTGGGTAAAATCATGATTAGCTAATTCTTTCTTTACAATTATATTACAGATCCCGATATGAAATAGATTAAGGCCGTATGCTATTCCAAAGTGTGATGTCATGTAGTATCAAGAAATTCAATTTTTTTATATTAATAATGTTTTTCTATTAATTTAATTTAGAATTTTCAATTTCGTAAAATTATAGTTGTTTCTCCATCACACATATAATGATGCACACGTGATAATACATATAATATGTATAAATACTCTCCACACAATAAAATTAGATAATATTTTCTATTTAATAGTTAAATATCTACATTTTTAAGACGATAATACTATAATTCAAACAGTATAGCTGCATAAAAAGAAAAAAAATCTAGAAAGAGAAAAATCTATTCTTTGTCATCTAATAGAATAATAAAAATAGTTCAATATAATTCTTTATATAGTTTTGCTATAATTCTTTAAATATTACATAAACGAAAAAAGGAAAACTAAAAAATATATAATATATCTTAATGTTTACGTGGTACAACAAATATTTAACAAAATATAAAATATTAACTCGAAATTTGACTAGTAAATAATACTAACACTTTGAATTTTTCGTGAATTTAAAGAAAGTGATAAATGAAATCATCCAACTGCACACGATAATAGCGTAATAGTGAATACACTAATATTCAAAAATAAAACTAATAAATAAATATTCATCCATATAAATTTTTGCTTAATATATAAATTTTGCTTCAGAAAAATGCTTTATTTTATTCATTTTCATTTATTTATATTTATTAATTTATTTTGTCTATTTATTTCTTTATATTGAACAAATTAAAGAATTCAAGTAAGAAATAAAAAAAATTTCTTCAATTTTTAAATTATTATTGTTTAGATCTGATTAGCATACGGCTCTAAAATCTAATGTGTACTTCGACTATTCGTCAATAGTATTAACAATTAATAATTTTTTGTGCAACCGGCGCACAAAAAGTCGCCCTTTACGCACATGATGGGATTTTAGAAAGGGCTCCCTTTTCACGCACCGATCACACAAAATATCGTAGCCAACATGTGCGGGTCATAAATCGGCCGATCGTACGGATTGTCACATTCGGCTTCGCCTCGTGCGCCAAACTTCCGTACTCTCGGTTGATTTACGATCCCCCGCACTTGTTAGCTACGAATATACTATTATTCTGTCAATTCTATCATATTAATTGTTGATTATTTTATAATTATTTCTAATTCTTATGAATCGGTTATATTGATATGACACATAAAATTTTGTATAGCGCGAAATTTATATTTCGACAACCGTTATTATCCAGCGTGAAAAATATCTTCATCTTACCCTTTGAAAGAAATGTTTGGATAGCAATCGCAGTATTCCTTCTTGTCGTTTTTTGCTTATTATATTTATCTATGAAATGGGAATATTATCGGAATACAATGAAAAAATCGTCAACTACCTGGAAAGATACTCATATCGGCAATCCGACACTAGGCGAAGATTTTCTCGTTCTTTTAGGCGCATGTACTCAACAAGGTATACAATTTAATCTAACGATAAATTTTGCAATTTTTAATTTGCAAGTTAAGATATTCGCAATTTTAAAAGTCAACTTATAAAATGTTTTTATCTATAGGTTATTCGTACGAACCATATAGATTTTCAACTCGAATCATCACTCTTACGTTATTGGTAGCCTCATTAAGTCTTTACACGGCTTACACAGCAAATATCGTAGCTCTTTTGCAATCTCCTGGAAATTCAATCAAAACTGTTTCCGATCTCTTGCATAGTCATTTAATTCTCGGTGCGCAAAATTACACAGCCACTCATAATCTGTTCAAGGTTAATATACTCCCAGATTTAATTGTTCAAAACAAAAATTTAAATAACTAGAACTATCGCAAGATTAATTATTCCTATGTAGCATTATCAAGATCCCGTTAGGAAAGCGATTTTTGAAGAGAAAATTGAGCCGAAAAGACACAAGGCCAATTGGATGGATGTAGTAGATGCAACACCTCGCATAAGAAATGAATCATTCGCATTTTACGGGTCAGAATCTCGGATATATCAAATAATAGAAAAAATATTTCAAGAATATGAAAAATGCGGGATAACAGAAATCGATTACACGAACGAGGTATTACCACATCTCGCACTACCGAAGCAATCGTCATATTTAGAGATAATAAAGAATGGGTAAGAGACTGTATCTTATGAGTTACTTCATGTTATTGAAATAAAAATAATTAAATAGTAACAATTTATATTAATAATAATTTACGTAATTTAAAATTTAACGTTAAATAAATACCTACATATTAAAATATAAATACATGTATACTCAAATATAGTATTACTTGTATATTCGAATTAGGAAATATTGATTAAAATTTATGTATTGTATTTATGTAAATCAATTGATCGATAAAGAAGGCTCCGTTTTTACATTTAATCATTACTTCATTAAACATACATGCAAATGCAAACAACAAAAATTTCAAAACTACTTATATAGAAAAAAAGCAAAGCAGATTACATGATATTATTTTCAATTAAGTTTACATTGTGAAAGAATTATAAATGATGTTCTACAAAAATGTCTATAGGAACAGTATTATTTTTTCTTTGTACATGCGTTATTTAAAAAAAAAAAATAAATACAATCTCAGAAACAAGAATTTGTAATGTTTCAATATGAAACATTTATGATTTTTTTCGGTGTTAAGTTTTCGACGATTAATTTATTAAAAAATTAAAATTTTCAAGATTAGATAACACCCATAAATCTGAAAAGACTAATACAATTTGCTATATACAAATAGTATGTTTAATAAAACATTTTTTTCAGAGCCATGATACTACGAGAATATGGGCTGAAATTCCGCGATGAATATCGTTTGATTACGAGAAAGCCACAATGTTCGAATCAAGCTAACTTTCTTAGTGTTGGCTTCACGGAATGCCGATTTTTAATTATTGTAATGGTTTACGGATTTCTGATTACATTAATTGTATTTGCATTGGAGTTGGTATGGCACAAAATGTAAGATTTAATCTTATTTAAATATCTTATTCACGCAGGCACAGGTTAATACAACTTATATTTCCTTCTATAGACAAAATAAATTTACACAAAAAGAGACGGTTCAAATTGTGAAAGAAAATGAAAATCTCGAAATTACCGAATATATTGAATAGGTAATTTCAAGAATACACATTAATCCTAAATGTTACACAAACAGGTGTATATTAATATTTCCTACATTTCTGTGGTAAACAAAACATCTTTTCTTATTTCTACCGTATTTTCTTCACAATTTTAGAGCGCGTATGCGTGCGCGCGGTTAAAAGTTGGAAAAATGATTAATGTAGCGCACATAAATATGGTGTGTGATAATCAATGCAATTTTATTTGTTTAAAAAAAGTACGTATACTAATGTTTGATATTTAATGTTATTATATTAGAAAATTGTAAAAACATGGCAGCAAATGGAGATCCGTCATTTGAATCTGCCACCAGTTGATGACAGATCAACATATATACGTGTTGCCATCTACTGATGAAATCATGTATCGCTTTATGAAAAGCAAGAAAAAATTCATTGTACTTATAAACTTTATCTTCAGTTGATATCCGAAATTTTTTACAGCTTGTAAAATATATGTTGTAGCAGTAGTGAGAAAGAATTAAAATTATAAATTATATAATCGCATTAAAATTGTTTTTTTTTTCATATCTTGTTAATTCCTCTTTATCTTTTCATATATTGATTAGATCTTTTCAGAATAATTTTATGTGCAATATTCTCCTGTAGTATTAGAAACTTAATAAAATTTATATATTTGCTAAGAATTAATTATTATTTTTTCTCCCGATTTTAACAGAAGTTATCAGTAAAAATTACATATACAATTTAATTTGTTTAAACTAAAGCTGGCACGTTTTACCGGATAAATAATATATTTTAACTAACAATAAGAAAATATATATAGAATTTTCCTTGAAATATATAGAATTCTTTACGCAACACGTCTCATATGATTCATAAATAAGCAATTGTAATTAAGTAGATGCTAATAAAGATTATTGTTCATATTATTATGGTTTTTTTCTTGAGTTGACAAGAAAACTAATTTATATTTACACATGATTTCTCATAACAAAATGAAAAAAGGCAATCCTAAAAATATATTAATTTCCGATTCAGAACTACAGTTTCATATTCGATGCACATTGCATTTAGTATGCTATAGTAAAAAGTATATCATATATCTCCAAAATATATTTGTTTTATTAAGATATTTTTACTTATATAATAATGCGTTATTGTACTTTATTTGTTTATTTATATTAAATTTATTTATATATTTAAAATTATGTTAAAATATACAATAATATATATATATACAATTTTAATCATATACTGCATATAATAAGTAATCTATAATTATTACAAATTTAGTACAAAACAAATAAATATCTGTCATTCCGACTCTGCTGTTATTTGTATTATATACTAAATTATATATCTACTATATACACAATTCTACCATGACGATCATCTGCTGACAAAATCACACATTAATTTATGCGACATGAAAAATACGATCACGTACGAAAATGCGAATCTGTTTACATTCTGTGTACTGATATTATATCATTTAACAAACAAAAAGGTTTTTCTCATTATGTCAAAATTTTTATTTTTATTTTATACAGTTTGTTATTATACATTATAATAACAATGTGTAACTATATAATAAAAGTATAATCTATTTAAAAAAATAGAATATGTGTCCATATAAAATTATTTCCCTCTCCAAAAAATTAGTTTAGTAATAATGTTTATATAAACATATATATATATATATATATATATATAAATTTATAGAAATTTTATATAAATCTAACTCTACTTACAATTAGTGATCTCTGCAATACAAAAGACAAAATAAAATAAGTATTCCCTATCTCTGGAGCTATTAAAAATTGTAGACCACAAATATTCCAAATTTTTTAAAATTACGGCACAATTATTAAGCAAATAGTAATTCTGTGAAACATCTGTAAGCTATTCGACAAAGTATCGAGCACCTGTACAGTAAATCCCATCGCTAATACGGTACCTAATACTCAAAATTATCTCCCATCGCTAATACGGTACCTAATACTCAAATATTATCTCAGAAAAATGTACCTTTAATATTTAATGCGATAATGCGGAGTTGCACCGTAATTTTCTTATGTATCTTTGATTAGCTTTAGCCTCGATAAACTCTGCCTATATAATCGACGACTATGTTGTGACGGCGCGACGTCATAGCAACCCGCTCTAACCGGCGTAAGACAAAGCCCCGGTCAGTCGTAAATAAATGCACTTTCGTGAGCCGCGATGCCGAAATCTTGAACTCGACCCTGGGAAATGTCATTATTTAAGACGAAAGAATGGTGGAGAACGCAGTGCGGAGTGAACGAGTCCTTCGACGGTCGCAACCTGCTCGTCGCGCCATTTTTCGGAGCCGACCTGAAAGACATTGTCATCGTTGGCAGCCACAGCGGATTTCTACGGATATACAGCCCGTCATCGCAATGGATAGAGGAGACGAAATTGCCGAGTGGCTACAAATCCACGGACCTGATCATCGAGTCGCAAATCGGCGACTGCATCGTCGATATGAAGACGGGAAAATTCGTCTCGTAAGTGGAATCGCGTGAGAGAATTAAATTATTGACGTGTCGTGAAGAATTGCGCGTTTTTCATTCCATTTCGTAACGAAGATTTGTGAAAGAGAAATTATTTCGAGATTAAAATCAATCGATGCAAAGAGTAATTGCTTAATCTTCATCTAAATCTAAATATTTCAAACAAAATATTGAAAACAAAAATTGATAAATAGTGAAGAAATGTGTAATAAATGCAATAAATAAATGAATAATTATCGTATTAAAAGATACGTGATTTGATCTTTTACGTATCATCAATATAGAATATTACATAGATGTTAAAAATATAAAAATATATGAAGAAATTAATTTGTTTTTAAATTTTTAATTATTTCATATAAATAAGATAATGTGTAAAATTTCTATATTTTTAGTCTATGATTTATCTTATAGTAATCTTGTGTTCCCACCCGACAGAAAATCAATTATTGAAATATTTGAATATTTATTCTATACATTTATATATCTATAAATATTTTTCGTTAATTATACTTATTGTGTCTGGATTTAAATATAGCACGTCACGAATATGTTTTATCTTTAGCTAATCTACTTTATAATCTACTTTGTAAATCCTTCAAATACCATGTTTTTATCGATATCGATCTGTTTCAGAGGTTCACAAGATACTCGACTCGCGATTTTGACATCAACAAAACTCATCATTTACAGCATTGTTTTGAACCAAGGTTCCGTCGAGCATGGTTTGTAATGCAACATTATATCATTATTAAGCTTCAAAGCAACTAATTAAAATGCATTTTAAAACATTCCTTTTTTTACAAATTGTCAAGTTTTCCATCTTTCTGACTATAATTTTACAGATTTATCGTTCTTTTATTGGCTTTAACTTAAAATACATTAAACACAAATTATAGTTAATGAAAACAGAAAAGAATATCATTTCTGAAAATCTATACTCGCCAAAATTTTTATTTGGATTCTAAAATCACAATACGTGCCGAACTATTAATTTGAACGACAATCATTAATTGTATGGAAAGATAATTCTTGAAAGAGACGGAAAGATTAACAAGATCAAGTAATCAAGTGAGGTTTTCGCTCGAGAACATTGAAATTCTCACGGTGTCTGATCTAAGAATAGTCTATCAATTAGAATTTATCAAAGTCTGCATGTGCACAAAGATTAAATACATGCCTACGTACATGAAATATAGACATGTGAATAGTTACACATTTTTTTCATTTTATGATATGAAGCGACTTAGTATCTTAGTATCTTATTTTTATTATCATTATTACTAATATTATTGTTATTATGAATTATTATTAAATATAAATTATTACAATCAATTTAATTCATCATTATTAATTATTATTAATTTATTATTAACATCACGTTTTGTGAATCCCATTAGTATATTATATTTATTAACATATCACTGCTGTCATTATTTTCATCATCGTTATCTCGTTATTATGACTACTATTATAAATTTTAGATATAAGATTTAAGTATAAGATTTATCTAAGAAGAGAATGCGTGAGATTATTTTTTATTATTATATAGTTTATTATATTAACATCAAGTTTTATGAATCCCATTAGTATATTATATTTATTTATACATCACTGCTGTCATTATTTTTCTCATCGTTATCTCGTTATTATGACTACGATTATAAATTTAAAGTATAAGATGATTTGTCTATAAGGAGAGAATGCGTGAGATTATTTTTCGTTGGATCTTTCGAAGAATTCGCAGGACCCGAGGCAAATATCTTCCGCAAGAGCCGGTCTTGAATCCATGCAAAATGACCGCGAGCGTTGCACGTTGCTAACGAGCCGCGCAACGTTACGCATCACGAGAGCGCTAAATTATTCGCGCGCGTGAATAATTCTCGGCGAAAGATCTAGATATATAGAAACGTCGCGGGCGCAGCAATATCTCGCGATGCGTCGATGCCTATTACGACAGAACGATTTTCGTCCGACGGAGTATGTCGTCACACAAGTCGTAAAACCGATATCGCAAAGTGATAGCGTATCGTATTCTTTTGCAACACGTGTTACGTGCGCGACGATGATATAAGAATTAATAAGAAACGATCATCGAGAGACTATATCATTGCCTGCTGTCAAATTTATAGAATGATGAAGAAAAAAGATTGTTTAAACAGATGGTAATATCAATCATCGTGTCGATATATGTTACGCGATATTAAATCTATACTATGAATATTGCATGTTCGTTTTCAATATTCTGTAAAAAGATCGTCTGTTCCGATAGACGAAAGATTAATTTTAAATTTGTAGAGTTTAAGATATATCTCAAATATGTAGCATACCTACTTTAACGTGAAACTCATCTTGTTTAATTTAATTGTTCTATTCTGTTGCAGAAATTATATAATTTTTAACCGCAATTAGAATATTTTTATGTTACATCGATCGATTGATCTTTCTGATCCATATTGACTTTCGATAAATAACGCTGAATGTAACCGTTCATTATAATATTGTATATAAGCTTCAAATGTGAACCGCGCGAAGGAAACTGATGATCAAACAATCGTATTTAATACTAAATATGAAGTAGTACGAACCCTACATGTTTATTCCGTCCATTTGATATCGCGTATCAAAGTGCGAAGAAAAACGCGTTGCGCAGTCTCGCGCTCATTTACGAATCACGAATGATTCGATTGAAAACTCTATTACACGTCTGTTTTTTTTCTCTTTTCTTTACGTTTATTTACGGAACACTGAAAGATTTTTTTAATTTTTTACAATCCGATTTGACGTAAAAATGTCTCTAAACGATCTAGAAAAAAAGAGTCGGACAAAAATTTCATCTCGTAACGCCACATGTAAGAAATTTTTACTGATTAATAGTAACGATTTACGCAGTTTCACACGCGACGCGGGAAATTATATAACAACCACAAAGAAATATGGATCGTGATAATGCGTTGATAATTACGAACTTACACAAATCGTGTCTATAATAAACAATATTATAGCGATGTATTGCAAAATATGTAATAATCTGTTGTAACCTAAAAAATAATTTTTATACTACATCTTATGAAAAAATATCTAATCATATTTTATATTGTGATAATTTTGCATATTCTGCGCGCGCACTTAAAAAAAAACTCGACGTTTTCTCCGTAAAAAATCTCGCCTTTCACCATTTTCATGTCGCGGATATTAAATAAAATCATCATATTATAGATGCTAATTAATTAAAATGAAATTATACGTACAAAAACATATTTTTTATATTTAAAATAACAAAGTATTTTAATTATTACTGGTCAAAATGACCGGTTTGATCGGTCCATGTTTAAGGCTGCGTGTCTCGCGTTATGATCCGGGATCGAGAGAGGCGCCTCGAGCTAATATCTCGTTAAATCCAGTCGATATTAGACGCTAGCAACAACAACACACGACCATCGAACGTTTCGTAATAACTCGCGAGCGCCGTTACGTCAACGCGCATATTATATGTATATATATATATATATATATATATATTTCGAGCGATTCCTCGCCCTCTGGACGGGCGTGGAACGGAAAGCGAGTACCCCGATTATCTCTTCCTCGCAAGGAAAGGAAAAAAAACCGTCCGTGCGCCGATTCCCGTTCCGTTCCGATTGCACGCACTCGCAGGGAGAACGCAAATTGCTCGCGAGTTGTTTTCGCGTGCGTGTAAATTATTAATGATTGCGACCTGTCCGTGATTGACATCTTTCGCGAGATCGCGTTGAAGACAAGCAACGTGTCACGCCTATTTCCTCCGCGACATCACGTAGGCGCCACCGAGATTCTTTTATACGTCCTTCTGATTCTCGCGAGGAACGAAAATCCATTGAGCGATATCATTTTTTCCGTTTATTTTGTTTAAAAATAAAATTATCTCCTCTACTAAAATTTTTCATATTTTTAATTTCGTTCTCATACTTTCTTTGATTTTTACAAAATTTTCAAATAAAGAGAAAAATCCAATTCTAATTTTTATTCAGTAAGAATATTTATATAAAATAATTTTTATATAAAATATAAATTTATAAGAAAATTAATATTCAATAATGATTATTCTTTTATCATTTCTTATCTTTTCACATTCTACCTTTAATTTTCTCTCTTTTCTTGCACGCGCTATTTGAGTCAAGAAACCGTGTTTATCCTGCTCTCACCTTTTTTTCTCGCTCACTCGTTATAACATTGACGTCTTGATATATGTAATACGCAAATCACTGATCACTCTCGTCTGGACGCTGAAACGCGGCCACGATGAATTGCGGCCTGACCTATTTACGGACAGGAATCACGATTGTTCGCCGGTTCGAGCCGCTTGTCTAACGCTGTCCGAGCTCGCACATCAATCTCGCGTATTTATTTCCTCGATTAACTACAACGTATGTGTCTACAGACGCACATAATATTGGCCTGATTTAATGTCGAAATAAAATGCGCAGCAATTCTCGTCCGCGTTGACAAGTGTCGTCCTTGCGATCAGAGAAATCTGAGATACAGTTATGTGCAAAATAATAGCACCGGTTGAAAAAATGAGGAGAATAACTGTCTCGACTGTACTTATATATCTAGGATTAAATTCTGACTTTTGTGGTGTTCGAACGAACTGACGAATATCAGGAAATCCTTTAATAATCACTTTTCGATGGTGGAGGAAATATAATTAATTATAACTGTATGTGTTTCTTCTCGAATGCATGAGTAAACTATGCAATAAATAAATCCTCCCAGTAATTCATCGTTTGATGAAAGGCGAGATTAATCAAGGAATCTCTAATAGATTGTTACAATGTATAAGGACAAATAAAATTTCCGCGTTACAAAAATTTGTTGCAGAAATCTCCAAATTGATCGAATGAGTGAACATAAAAGAGAATAATTCGGAAAAATTATATAATCAATGTTTAATAACTTGTGAAGATCTTTATAAAATATGCGCTACGTGATATATTAATTATTGCATCATTAATCGGTCGAACCATCTTTGGCGAAAGTAGGACAAGACATGCTATTGCATCGCTTCACTCTCGAACGATCGACACAGAATTTTACGTTTCAATAAATAAAACAGAATCGTCGTTTTACATAGTACTCGACACTATGAGACGATCAAAATCTAAGAAACAATCTGAAGCTCCAAAAAATCCGATATTTTTTAATTCGTATTTTTATATAATTATAAATAAATCGCGAAAGTAGAGAAAACCCGTATCAACTTGATCAGAGAGAAAGAGAGAAAAAAGGGAGATTTAGAATTTTTTAAATGAATTTTACGATTAAAGAATTTTCGATATAAGCTTTAATTTAAGCTGTTCGGAAATTGTCAATTTAATTGCTATCGTTAGGTTCTCTTTGCAGGCGATCGTTGCGATCTGGAAGCCGTTTACGAGCATTTGCTGCCGCGATTTCCGGCGTCTTTGACGACGGGCCCGTTCGGTGGCGTGCGAGGTCGCGACTTCCTCTGCGTCCAGTGCCTGGACAGTACGCTTCTCTTTTACGAACAGGAGACTCCCACCTTCAGCCTGGTTCTCGGGAATCGGCTGCTGCCGGAGCCGATTGTCTACGTTTCGCGGAACGACGTCTTCGTGACGTCGAGCTCCTCGTGGAACCTCGAATGCTACAGGCAGGTTGTTCCACCCGTAACCCGTTTTTCCGAGTAGCCTGTCAATGAACACCTGCCGGTGTATATAGAGATAACGTGGCCGCGAGGTATCAGATTGCGGCCTCGTCTTTCGATCAGTCGAGAGGACGAATGAAAAGATATGGTATATGGCACTGTCATTAGATGCGAGAAACATTCCTAATTAGCCAAAGATATATCAAAGACTCGACGTGCATAAAAAGGAACATATATCATTATCATGATTTTAAAAATAATTTATAATTATTCTGATTCCACGCGTTTATGTACATTATAACAAATTAATATAAATAAATAATATTTAATATTAAAAAATAGTAATAACAGAATTGAAAAAAGAGAGAATGAAGCAAAATGTACTGTCTTCATGTGCAGCGAAATTTGCATATATATTTTTTTACATTCTCGTCATCTTTAACGTGTATAAATTATTTCATGTCACGCGTCGCGGAAATTTGTGTTAATAAAATAAGATTATCGCGGAGATATATGTATTTTTTTTTTTTGCAGATATAAGAGCATGGCAGAATTCGGAAGCAAGGATGACCGTTCGGAAGGACCGAAAAACCTGGAGCCGGACTGGAGTTACAATATCGGGGAAGCCGTTCTCGATATCGATACCGTTACCTTGAGCAGTTTCGAGGTTGCGATTCTTGTGCTCGGCGAAAAGAATCTCTACTGTTTAAAGGACAATTGCGTTTCCCTGAAGTACGCGAAGAGGCTCGAGTACAAGGCTCTCTGCTTTCAAGCCTACGTAATAGGTAACAGCCGACAATTAACTTGGACTTTTATAAAAAAAAAAATCAAAAGAAAAAAGACGCGAATCAACTTATTTTGTTATCGTTACTTCGATACTTTGATTTCTTCAGGATATTTTCTTTTTTCTCCTCTTCTTGAGCAGAAGAAAAAAAGATGAGAGAAGCGAACAAGTTGGACAGAGAATCGTGCTTGTAGACGATTCTGGCTGATGCTGGGACACGTCTAATTACTTTTAACGGATAGAAAATAAGTGTGCTAATTGAGCATGATGCTTACAGAACCGGATGGCAAGTTGATGGTGCTTGTAATCGCTGACACGAGCACCCTGATGATTTACGAGGGTACGACTCTTAAGTGGTCAGCTCAGCTGCCTCTTACTCCAGTCGCCGTAACTCGAGCGCATTTTCAGGTAAGTGGTTGCATAATTCCGTAACTCTCGTGTTCTCACTTGACGCGATGCGTTTCGTGATGTTATTTCGTAGAAACTACGTCGTAACGCGTCATCGAAGAGCTCAAAAGATTAACGTTTTTCCTTAATTTTTATCTTTTCTGAAATGGCAAGTTGTGTAAAACATGATATCTAATATTAGATATATTATTAATTTATTATGTGCGTGATTACTAATTAGTGTTACATTAAATATTCTGAATTTTTCACACATCTCTTTTCAACGCGTAAAAAGAAAAAATATATTAGCACAAATATACATAGATATAATCTAACATACATAATACGTTTTAAGTAAACAGTAAACGGATATAACTGGTACTACGATTTTCGTACTACAATCTCCTACGCAATATAAAAAATACAAAAAAGACAAAGATAAGACATATCGACTATTTTGCGATGCGCGGAGTCAACATATTTTTTTCAGAGAAGAAAAACTTCCGCTAGAGAGCTAAATTTATATTGATAACCCATTCAGAGTTTTGATCGCGCGCGAGAGTTCTATGTGTTTTATTTGACCATCTCGTCCCTGGATAAGAATAATGGAATCACGAAACAAGAAATCTAACGACGAAATGTTGTATCTGACGAAGCGGACGTTCTATCAATCTCGAGATGAGAATATTTAATAGGACGGGAATAAAAAAAAATTATCGACCGGCTGTTTTATCCTCGAATAACGATGTCGTAAAGTAATAAGAAGAAGAAATGCATGGGACAACTGCTCTTGGGAAAGAGAGAGAGAAAGGAAACCTCGATGGCGCGCGTATATCTAACCACGATAGTCCGCAATCAGAGCCGATGACATTTGACAAAGGAACAAGCGAGACCTTCGCCATATCGGTGTTCCTCTTCCGTGTCACACTATCGACATCGCCAGTTGTTTCTCCGGCAACGTTGTGTCAGACTCGGATCTATCATGCTTGCCATCAGAAACCGAAAGCTTCTTTAGCATAGTCTCACTGTGTTTCAGAGAAAAAAAAGAATCCACGCTCCTCGAATTTTTACGACAAAAAATTATTTAATTTATTTATACTTTTATTTCCCTTTTGTTCGTTTTTTTTGTTTTTTGTTCATTTATATTTAGGAATATTCAAAACCGCGAAATAGAAAAAGAAAAAAATGAATCGAAAGCTTCTTTAGCATAGTCTCACTGTGTTTTAGAGAAAACAAGAATCCACGCTCCTCGAATTTTTACGACAAAAAATGATTTAATTATCTATGTATAAAAATTATTTAATTTATTTATAATCTTATTTTATCTCTCTATCATAAAAAATAGTTCATCTCGGCGGAATTTCTCACATAGAAATATATGAATGCAAATTACTATCGATTTTTATTTGTTGGATATAAAGATTCACGTGAGAGATACGATAATTAGATCGTTTAGATAGTGTCTGATTAGCTTACGACCTGTTCCTTTTGTTCGTTTATATTTAGAAATATTCGAAACCGCGAGATGGAAAAAGAAAAAAATGAATAAAGATAAGAGAGGAATGCAAGCGGAGATGACGATCGAGAGAAACGCTTCGAGGCGATGAAAGACCGACCGGGTAAGAGAAAAAAATCGCAAGAGTGCAGGAAAGGACGAGAAGCCGACAATTATCACCCTGGTTTTATCTTATCGTCCTGCCCGCAGAGCTAGCACTCCAGCCAGCAAGGTTGCCATTGTTGTCTTTCCGGAGGACACAGAATACGCGCGAATTGCTGGCTAATTAGCTTAATACCGAGAACTCCGCTTCGTTAATCAGCAAATTGTCGTGACAGCTAGAATCGTCCGACGCAGACTTAGAAAAAAATCAGCCTAAATCAGTCACGGAAAATAGCGACGAGCGATTAATTTTATATCTTATCTCGCAAAAGCGCAGAAAGATTTCAAATTCCATATGCAAAAACACATTCCAACATTGAATTTTTTAAAATAGAAATACGACGCATATAGCTGTATTCAGAGATTCACTGCAATTTTTTAATTTTAAAAGTCAGACGATTTTTTTTTCTTTATACGGACAAGTCTTTAATTTAGCTCTCACGTTTCTTCCGTAAGATAATAACTATGATATTATACACGCAAGCTATATTCCAGGTTTCTCGCGATTCTTTTTTTAATCACGGTTTCTTTGACCAATTTAGGGTTGATCTTCCTTTGCGACTGCAATCCGGATTTTCTGATCTCTTTTTTTAGCACTTAGACGGAGTGATCGTCGTCCTCTCCGAAGAGGGCCAGCTGGAGGCTTGCTACTTGGGCTCGGAGCCGTCCTTATTTATCGCGCCTCCTCTTCATCGACGTGGTTACGATTACGTGGCCGCCGAAGATGAACTCATGGACCTCCGCAAGCTGGCAAAGAGAAATAAGACTTCCGGTACGCGTGGATAAACGTAAACCAATATATACCCATGATAATCATCATTGATGACGCATAAGGAATAATAATCCATAATTAAATTTCTCCGAATCGTCGCGCTTTTATAATTGAATTTAGTTATAATGAAACTTTTATTGAAACGTTAATTATCCCATAATTGAAATTATAAGGCAATCAACTGACCGACGTCACCATGGACGCCGAGCTGATAATATCTGTGACCGTGTCTCTGGATCTGGAACCCTCCTTGCGCGGAAACCGGGATGACTCTAAGGACGACGCGGCGGAGAGTCGTAATTTAATGTGCAGAATCACCGTGGAATTATCCACGTACACGACGTTACGCGACGTTCAGGTGTGCGTGAACGTCTCGAAGCCGTTCGTCGCCGAGAAAGATTGCCACGTTATTTCCAATCTTTGTAAGCGCGAGTCACATAAAGTTATATATTTACGACGGTGTCAAGTCTGAATAAAGCAAATGGACATTTCAGAACAAAGTTGAAAAATTATCGAAGATAATTAAGTAAAAAAAAGGACGATGTATAATAAATTCCACTTTTTTATCAATAATACATATTACATGTATTTTCCTCTCTATTTATTTATTTATTTTTCATTTTTTTTTATCAAAACGATAGAATCGCTGGAATGTCAGGGGAGCATTTTAAACATTTGCTCTCCTTGTGAATAAAACCACTGTAATGTATTTGCAATTTTATTTAATATAAAAATAACAAAAAGGAATGAAAAAAATTGAATTTAAAAAATTAAAAAAGGATAATAAGAAACAAAATTTATTCCCAACCAATTAATCGAATGAAATGCAAAGGTGACCGGCACGTTTTCCACACGAAGATCTACGGAAGCGCGGATCTGCCGGCGTTATCGTCAGACGTGAGAATCACAGCGAGCTACGAGACGGCGGAACGTGGGAGCCTGCGCGTGCTTCAAAAGACGGCCCAATTGCCCATGAAGATGATGCTGAGGTCCTGCCCGCCCGAGAACACGTCCACCTTCACGGCGACCATCAAGTGCAGCGAGCCCCTCGTCGCTTTTAACCAGCTGTTTCCCGGTAAATCCATCGGCACTATCGTTTATATAATGTTATCTCTCTTCCACCAGACCCTCTCATCGCCCAGTCACGCGATCAGGGCTGCGATAAAACTATTTTTTCGAGTCATCTCCTTGACGAACCTTTTTTTTGCTGTGACTCTTGTTATAATACAAATTATAATAAACGTTCCGAAAATTCTTTTAATTAATATTATATATATATATATATATAATTAAAAAAAAGGCCTAATTGTAAGAGCCAAACACGCGCGAAAATTAATTCTTTTCGCGGATTTTTAAACTTGACAGATTGTCAAGATTTAAAATTCTTTTAATTAAATTCAATTAAGTAAAAAAATATTACTGTGTATAGACGTTATGTAAATTAAAATAAGGTCTATATAAATAAAAATGCGCGAGTAATTTTTAAAATTTTATACGCGCAATTTAAAGATAAAATCTCACGATTATCATCGATCGAACAGAGATCGATCGATCTATTTTAGAATGACTCTTATATTTCGCGCTTTTTGCGATACCGCCCTGTTGGTCCCACGCAATCGCCGTAAAAGAATTCCCTAAAAAGTCAGGAATCTTTTTTACTTCCATTGCCTCGGTCTTTCGCCCCGCTGTTCTCCGTCGGAAATTACGGGCCAGGAAATTGTGGCTAGAGAATTAGGATGTCTCGTTTGCGAACGGTGATATTAAAGAATCCAGTCTCTCTTTTTCTCTCTCCCTCGTTCTCTCTCGCTCGAAGACTTTAAATGCGCGGACCCTTAGCCCACCTAATACGATAATCAGACATCGCACAGGCCCCGGGAATCTTAGCCGAACCTCTTCAATCACGGCGCATTTTCTTCCTTTTATCGGCCACTCGACTTTAACCCTCGCATACCTGGTAGATTCGTAATTTAAAGTCGGTAAAATTCTTGTTAAGTGAATTCTTTCCCTCCTTTGCGACTGTTCGAAATAAAAAAATATCAATCATAAAAATGTCAACGACGTCCTCTCTCCAGTTTCAATATGTCAATATGTCAAATATTAAATATAAAGATTGTTCCGGAATATCCAATTATAATTTTAATTACAAAATTTTTCTAGAATTTAAAATCTTTTTTGAAAAAAAAAAAGATTTTAAAAAATATTAATGGCTGTTGCATCTTTTTAACATTTACTTGTCAAGTATGCACATATCTTGAAACATTAAAAGGTTTGCTTGAACATTTGCAGCCGAACAGTGAGATTTTTTGATCCGATTGATTTTCCAAAAAATAAACTCGCGAAGGAAATTCGTAATTTAACAATAATTCTTCGGACAGAGTTTACAGGAGACACGCAGAGGCAAAATTGGAATGCGCTCGGCTTGCAACACGTGCAAACTAATAGCGTGGTGACCATCATTTCCGGTTCTACCAGCAACCGATATCGAGTGCAATCGAACGATGGACTCGCGATGACCTTGGTGATTCAGCAGTTGGTGAATAGACTCAAAGACAAGGCCACCGGAAACTTTACGACCACCATCGCGCAAAACCACATACAGCTGGTCCAATCTCAGATGGAGGCTCACTTTCGCAGCCGCCAAGAGGCTGATAGAATCGCGGTAATTCATTTAAATGCGAGTTTAATGCAAATTGCATCTAATCTCGATACGCAAACGAGCTTGATTAAAGAAATGCATTCGTATTTCTATATTTTTCACAGATGACATTTTTCATAATATTTTCTTCTCAAAGTCGTACACCTACTTCTTACATTTTTATCCCTTTCTCACTTTTATATTAATATTTCAATTTCTATTTTATCTCTGACCGCGCGTACAACAAACATAAAACGCATTAATAAAATTCAAAAATTTCCGCCAAATCAAATATACATTAATATTAAATATTAGATTTTGCAAAAGAATATATACGCAAATTCCAAGAATTATTTATTTATCTCAATTTCTATTTCTTTGAAAGCTCTCGTGCTTTCTTCGCTGCCGTAAGATTTAAGATCAGCTTCTCTCGCAATCATGACGATGACGACGTCGACGGCGTCCGATTCATTAACATCGCCGTCGCCGTCGATTAATTACCCCTCTTCTTCTCGGCTCATGTTATTTTCTTATTCGCAAGTATAGAACGAGATCGGGCTGCTATCGACCCAGTTGAGAAACATCGAGAGGAGGTTGCTGCGCGCCATGAGGGAGCGAAACACCCGATCTCTGGCCACGACCGGGCTGCCGTTCCTCTTGGAATCGACCTATCGCGCGATCTTCGCGCTTCTGGATGATCTCGCGATCGCACGAGCGGTAATTGACCGGTATTTCTTATCCCTTATACAACCGACTCGTTATATGATCCATCTTGGCCTTTAATCATCGTTCAACCTAGATACGTCCAACGAGATCCTGATTCCGTTTCATTGTCAAACTGTTGAGACAATAATTTGATTCTTATCAACAGATTTTTATACTGTAGTCAATATAACTATTGTGTTGCAATATAAATTCTCTTAATATATTATTAAAGGATTAAAACGTCTCATACATTTTTTTCAAACTTTTTTCTAATATTTTCACAATAGAAATTTTCTGCTATTATAATCGCTAATATAAGATATTCGATATTTAAACTGGTAATTATATAGATATTATAAGATAATAAATTATATAGAAAGGCAATATATAAACATTTTCATTTATTTTATAAAATTTTTATCAGAAAGATGTATGAGACGAATATTGCTTGGCATTTTAATACCGCAATTAAAATCGTAGCCTGAGAATTAGGAATGTATCGGCATTGCTCGCGAGTTGTGCACGATAATTGGCCTGTGTAGTCGCTCCGGCTTATTATATTCATTCGATGCTGGCAGCGATGGCGACCGTAATCTCGATCGTATAAAATACGCGAGAGAGCCGCATCGATCGCGATCGCGATCGATACGGTATGTTACGTTTTATCGCGCGTCGATCTATGGAAGGTAGAGATCGCGATTCGCGAAACTGTATCAACGCGCCTGGATCCGTATATTGCCACTCGATTCCTCTCTCGTCGCGCTCGAATGGCTTATTATTTGCGAGATTTATGGCGCTCCCGGGGAAGGAAATCCGACACGAGCCGTGTTTAGATGGATAATGAAGCGAAGGACAACAAGAATAATAATCATTTCGCTGTCATCGTAAACAGCTGATTCAAAAACGCGAAACAAAATAATCGACGTATTTTTCTAATAAGAAATTATGATTATTGACTACTATTGTTAATTCCTTATTATGACTCTATTGTTGAATTCCTTTTGTCCTGTTTATACAATTGAATTCTCAGGAAATATAATTAATCTGCGTATAATTGGCGGATGTGATCAAGAATCAAATTAAAATTAATAACTGGTAGATTGAAGAGAAAGCAGAAGGAGCGCGAGAATAATCACTACTTCGACCGAAAAAATACATATATTAAGGTTAATAAAAATTTCTTTCTTCGAGAATTATTTTGATCTCGGTAAAGACTTTAAAAACGCTATAAATTATAAAAAAAAAAAATAAAAATCCGAAAAATTCGTAAAAATGACCCCAGTGTCTGATTCGAATTTCAACTCGCGCCGTCAGAGATCAACATAGATGTGTGCTATCTGTCAATGTTCGTTTGACGTAACGCGAGACACGATAATTGGGCTGTTGCAGGAACGAGAACGCACCGGCCACGGTCTGCGGTGTGCTGTGAGGTTACTGCTCCTGCTGTTGCGGCTCAATGTAAACGATGATAAGTACACGATGCTCGAAGCTGCGATCGGATTCGAGCCACAGCTGCGCGATGAACTCGTAAGTACATCCTATCGGTCAATCTTTCCGCTTTAAAGCGGGAAAAGATTCACATTCGACACATATGCCTACTTGTAAGATGTAATTTTAATGAAAACATGTATTATTTAAAAAATTTGCAATATGTTTCATTCTATTAATTCTGGTATATATCATATTTCTAAATATATTAATTTCTCATAATGCGATATATAAATTTCACATCAGAATCAATAGAAATAAATAAAACATGTTATATAAAATCTTTTTTAATTTATATATATTATGAAATATATTTAAAAAATATTAATAATTAATAATTAATATAATATATACAAATTTAATAATATATAAAAAATATATATTAATATATAATCAATAATGTATTTAAACTATGTATGTACATACACAATTTACGATAAAAGTGCATATTTTGCATAATTAAATATACGAATGCAGAGATATTTATTTCTCTTCTGTCCAGCTATAAATATAAAGTTAAATTGATCAATGTTCGCCATCACATCGTAGCGAGATCTTGTTATCGTTGTCGCGCGCGTTTAATTGACCGTGTCATTGCCATTCCCCTCCATCATTTTCGATAAGCATACGATTGATTGATTTTGCAGGACTGGGAAGAGATCGCCGACGTTAGTCTGAGCGCTTTTCTACGATCTACGTCTAGAAAATGCACCGGTCACCTAGCCGAGATGAAACCTACAGTGTTGTCAAAGATGACATCCACCAGAGAATTCGCAAAATTAAAGAAGCGTCTGATTCACGCGATCGAACGTCTCGATAGCTACCGTGAATCTACCGATATTGCTGAAAATGAACCAGAAGCTGGCGCTTCTTAAACATCTTGTCACATTCTAATTTATTATTGTAAATACTATAAGTAAAAAATAAAAAAGCGAACATCCTTATTATATCCGGAAGCAAGATCTCTTTTTTTTCAAAGAACTCGAACGAGATAAATAAAATTTTGGTAATTTTTTGTCATTTTAATAAAAAAGATGAAATGTGTGAAATTTTGAATGCAAAAAGGCAGAATTTAAATTCCAAATTAGAATTTAATTTTGAAAAAAAAAATCCGTCGACATCATGATTGATCGCTTCATCATCCTTGCGCTCGTACATACGTCAGACGCATGTACATAATATCTCGACTCGCGCTTTGATTGCACATAATACGTATCGATACGCAGGTGCGACGCACGCGTATTATATTATGCACGGACACGTCAAGTCGAACGGTTTACGTAAGTGCATCTATATCGCGCCGACGATAATTTCATTCCGTATGCCTGCGGCATATTATCGAAATAGGCGAAGTCGAACGGCGTAACGTATAGTTTGAATGATTCACTGGCTGGCGCCACGATTCCGCTTTTTCGAACCTAATTAATGGGAAGAATGTATATATGGGAGAGGGTATATGTTTATAACCCGGCGGGGACCAATAACAGTCGCGCGCTTTGTTCGCGATAATTTTCTTGACGAGAACGTTCGCGCGCAATATATAATGTATGCAAAGTGCCTACCCTGCGCTTAGAATGGAAAGGATCGTGTAAGAATTTTTCCCAGATCCCAGGCTACAAGCAGCGACAATGAAGAGATATGACAACATATCGAACGACTATATTTATATACAGTCGTTGTAACAATCGCGCTTCTGTTGATTCTCTTTACCGCGCCATCAAGGATCGTAAATGAAATCATCTCCGGATAGAAGGCAAGTTTCGCCTGGAATATATATATATATATTTCTACGATTGCAACGTAGATTTATGCTATTTAATTAAGCGTCGGATCAAAGGCCATCCGTATTTATCTACTGGAATAGAATCTTGTATTTATCCTTTTTAACGGTGATTTATACTTTTTTTTCCCGATCGTTTGATACTTTTGTATACGCTCCTCGTATCATACACACGCATGCGTATCCGAGCCGATACGCACAATCTGTGAGAGATAGTTCTATGCTGATGCTGCCTCTTCGTTCCGCGTGCGCGGCTTCCCACGAGCGTGAAGAAACAAATAGTCACGAGGAACCCGGAGTAACCATCGGCCAAGTGCTCGGCAAATATTTAGACGGCAGCACTTTTCCCCGACTTGCGGCCACTGATGTAACAGATTGAAATATTTGCGGCCGCGAAGCTTTGCGGTTCGGATAAACGTCCCGCGACGTAACAACGTCGGCGGATAACCGCGAAACGATCGACGCGTAAACAATGCAGCCAAACAATGTTGCAATGATGTAAGCCTTTACGACCGAGTGATGTTTAGTTATATTGGCACAAAGTCAATATATAATAGATCATGTGTGCGCGAGGTTCTCTATAGAATTGTTTACCTCCAGCTTCAATGCGAAATTGGGATGATGAATTTTTATTCTCGGAAAGATTCGAGAGAGAAATGTCATTATTTGCTCCACAACATTTCGATACTCAACATTAAATATCGTTAATCATATTTTTAATTCCGAGAATAAAAATTTATCATCCCAATTTCATTGAAGCTGAAGGTAAACAATTAAGAATTCTTTTAAGAATTAAATCTACGAATCATACATTTATTGCTTTAAAAGATCAACTTTTTTAATTGAGAACAAATTGATTTGAACGAAATAATCTGTCATAGGAATATATAAAGTCTTTATATTTTATATAGATTTCCTAACTGCAAGTTTCTCAAGAGGAGCACGATGAATTTTTATTCTCGGAAAGATTCAAGAGAGAAATGTCATTATTTGCTCCACAACATTTCGATACCCAACATTAAATATCGTTAATCATATTTTTAATTGGTCAATTCGTGATATTTCTCTCTCTTTCTCCAATCTTTCCGAGAATAAAAATTTCTCATCCCAATTTCATTGAAGCTGAAGGTAAACAATTAAGAATTCTTTTAAGAATTAAATCTACGAATCATACATTTATTGCTTTAAAAGATCAACTTTTTTAATTGAGAACAAATTTAAATTGATTTGAACGAAATAATCTGTCTTAGGAATATATAAAGTCTTTATATTTTACAATATATAGATTTCCTAACTGCAAGTTTCTCAAGAGGAGCACGATGAATTTTTATTCTCGGAAAGATTCGAGAGAGAAATGTCATTATTTGCTCCACAACATTTCGATACCCAACATTAAATATCGTTAATCATATTTTTAATTGGTCAATTCGTGATATTTCTCTCTCTCTCTCCAATCTTTCCGAGAATAAAAATTTATCATCCCAATTTCATTGAAGCTGAAGGTAAACAATTAAGAATTCTTTTAAGAATTAAATCTACGGATTACATACATTTATTGCTTTAAAAGATCAACTTTTTAATTGAGAACAAATTTAAATTGATTTGAACGAAATAATCTATCTTAGGAATATATAAAGTCTTTATATTTTATATAGATTTCCTAACTGCAAGTTTCTTAAGAGGAGCACGATTTATAATAATCGTCAATGTAAAGATACCATCTACCGATACTTCCTCGGAAAATCCGAAGAGAACGATCGCCTGTCGGAGTTCTAGCTCGTATCGCCAATTATCTCGCGCAACAACGCGAAAAGATACATGCACTAGGTGCAGAAAGATGCCGCTCAATAGAATATTCCTGTATCGGACGAAACGATCGATCAATCGATCGCCCGAGGCGCGTTAAAGGGGGAAAAAAGAAGAAACAACAAATCGATAAATGTGCGGAATAAATCGGCGACACCTGCGGAGGTGCGTCGGAAAATTACGGAACTTACGTATCACTAAATCGCTTATTATCGCTTACTTTGCCGGAGGAAACCTGAAGGGAAAAATGCAAAAAAAAAAAAAAACGCTAAAAACCATCTCGTATCTCGCCACCATCATCGATTATCGATTATCGATATCGTCACCATCGTCGGAAAAAAGAAGAAGAGTTCAATGAGGGGGTCAAGGTCCCGATGCAATATATTTCCAATTTTCCAAACGACGGCATAAACAACGAATGCACGCTGCATTCCTTCTTATTATCTGCTTAATGGAAGACGCTAGATCTAATATTCTCGCGAGAGATTATCCTGTCAATCAAAAGATGCAAGATCGATAGATCCTGCGCATCTACGATATTATGTTCAGAAATGTTTTGAAAGAATTTGTGGAAGCAATTATTAATAAATTATTTACAAACCGCAGATATAAAGTTTGTAAATAATTATTTACAAACTTTATCTGCGGGTTTTTTTTCATCGATTTAAAGTCAATTTTTCTGTAACAAAAATCGTCTCGTCTCGTCTTTCTTCGTTATTAAAATACAGGCAAATCTGTTGCAAGTAAAACTGAAATTGAATCTCTAGTAAAGTTTTTCGAAATGGCCTAAAAAAATTAAAATTTTGACATAGGTTGACAAGTTAAATGAACCTTTTTTTACATTATTATGTATACTTCTTCATTAAGAAAAAAAATACGGTTCAAGAAAATTATATTGGAAAAATTTTAAAGCACTCAATATACAGGGTGTCCGATAACTAACGGACCAATGATTAAGGGCGGATTCTCTGACCAATTTGGAGACGATTTTTCCTTAACAAAAATGTTGAGAAGTCAATAATTTTCAAGTTATAAGCGATTGAAAAAAATAAGTTTTTTGAAAACTAAACGTTTTGGAGTTAAAAGTCTAACATAATTACATTCTTCAATTAATTTCAGGTAGAGTTTATTATAATAAAATTTTAATTTGAGGCTTAGTTATAAAGATACATAATGACAAATATTGGAAAGTTGTAAAAAACGATGACCTTTTTCGACATTTTCGCTGAGGAAAAATCGTTCCCAAATTGACCAAAGAATCCATTTGTAATCGTTGGTCCGTTAGTTACCGGACACCCTGTGTAAAAAGACTGAATAGTATCCAGCTGATAGTCACTCGATATAGATATTCGAGACTTTAAGAAAAGATTTACGTGAGAATTGTTGTCGAAAACATGATTAAACGCTATACACGTGTCGCCCTTATGCATTATGCGAATACAAAGCTAAAGAGGCAGGCAATAATAGTGAGCTAGCCGCTCACAATTTTTATTGCCATTTGCTGAAAAAGCCACTTGACTTCTCCGCTTGCTTTGTGAAGAAGGTTACGGGTGAGTTAGAAAAACAATGAAAGAGACAGATGAGAATCCTAGGAACGCGTACCTGAAAAGAGTTTCACGTGTTTGTCACTCGATGCCACACACGGTAGAGAGACGAGATGCGACCTTTTCTCTATGTAACTCGCCGCTTCTGACAATCGTCATTCATTCCGCGAACTGTCTTCGGACAAAGGCTTGAGGATGAATGAGGAAGATATACGAAAGTGGTAGCGCCGACCATTCATAACGGCTTGTTCTCATAAGTATCAATGTGTTTACAAGAATTAAAATAGAATTAAAATAGATTCATAAATCAATCCAAACAACACATGTTGGGGAATGCTGGAGCGGAAACCAGAATCACAAGACAAAGACTCACATTTCGACTTTCTCACCCGTCTCAGGTTTTCGCATTTTGAGTAAAACAATAGAAAAATAACAGAATATAAAGGCTAAGGGCATATATGGAATGTGCACCATATGCAGTGTTTGAACCTTTGTAAGTCCTAAGTCTATGGGATTAGCAGGATGTAGATTATGTCTTTGACAAAAGAATTGTATGTAACAATAAAAACTGCCCAATTAAATATATATAGAGTTCTAAATAAAAAAAGATACAAAAAAGGCAGGAAGACTCATTTTCTTTCGAAAAAGACTAAAGAATAAATATTAAAGAGAGCACATAACAAAAAAGTAATAATAAAAAATAATAATCAATTTGAAGGGCTCATCAAACTTGAATTCGATAATTAACGAATAAACATAGATTTATAATGATACTTGAGAGAAAATGACGAAAAAAAAGAA